ACATGTCCTTTGTTGATGATGACGATTTACAAGCTTTACTTGCTACCCAACGAAGAAATGCACTAAAGAAACGCCAAAAGTTACGACCAGAAGAGTTCGCTCAACGATTAAGAGATGAAGCATCAGCAACTCCAGCAGATAATGAGGAAGGTAATGATTCGGGATTGGTTATTGATGAAACCTCGGAATTTGTTGCGAACCTTCAAAAGCCAGTCGCACCAGAGCCCAAGAAAAGATCTGTATCTCGACCAGACGCCGTTACTTCCATGGGCGCTGATTCTGATGATGATGGAGATGTCCAAATGAACGAATCGTACGCAAATATCGAGGATGATGAGGATAGACTCGCTCGGATCAAGCGTGAAGAAGAAACCAAGGATGCCATTGCGAATAATGGATTGGAAGAGGAAGCCACTCTTGAAAAGGGTTTAGGCTCTACTTTGAAACTCTTGAGAGAAAGAGGTATTCTGAAGACTTCAGAGTCTGGTGATGTCGCCACAATCTTCAGAGAGAAGCAAATGTTTCTCGCGGAAAAACAAAGACGCGAGGCAGAAGCAGAGAGAAGAGCGAAAGCTCAAAGAGAAAGAGATCGTACCACAGGTCGCTTGGATCGAATGTCTGCTCGTGATAGAGAAGAACATGCCAGGCAACAGAATACGATGCGAGACCAACAAGAATCGAGGCAACTCGCTGAGCATTTTAACAAGGAATACAAGCCTAACGTGGAGCTCAAATATGTCGATGAATACGGAAGAAATATGAACCAGAAAGAGGCTTTCAAACATTTATCACATCAGTTCCATGGTAAGGGCAGTGGAAAACAGAAGACGGAGAAATTATTGAAGAAGATCGAAGATGAGAAACGAAGGGAAGCGCAGAGTTCACTAGATGGAAGTCAAATTGGTGGTATGACGGGAGCAGCAGCACAACAGTTGAAGAAGAACAGACAAGCTGGTGTGAGATTGGCTTGATCAGATCAGTTCGAGCGGGGACTGAGGATATCTATCATGGTGCAAAGGTGCAGACTCCTATATTGTACTTAGATTTTATTGCAATGCTGACAAAGTTTTTGAGAAGATACGAATCTTGTGCCTCGGAGCACACTGTTTTGTGATAAGATGGTAAGTCTATTTGTGATGTGTACTAATTTTCGGGGTTTTTGACGTTTACCTTGTCAGAAACAAGGTAGGTTGTGTTATACTTTATCTTCGCCTTGATCATTATATGTCGACAGAAAGAGGCTTGATTACGTGTGAGCATGTCTTTCCGGGTTCCTCCTTCATTTCCGATCAAGGCCTTGTCGACTCACAGCATTATTATTATATTACTTGCATCCTCTCCTAAAGAAGATCCAAACGTCGAGTGTCAAAGCGAAATCGCTCACTTCTATATACCATGGAGTCGACTACTAACATTAAATCGTGCACGAATACCTCGTTCATATATCCTTTCATTTTCATTCTCATATCCAATACTCAAACGGTCTACCTTGACGATCTGTATAAACAGATACACACATACACACCAATGTCCTCTGGGAAATAACAAGTACAATATAGCGAGTAGTAGCAATATCGTCTAAATAGGATTAATTATACATACGCATCCAACTGAACTTCTTCACAATGACCTCTACATACTTTTTCAATCCGTCTCGACTCGTTCTCGGTTATTGTTGATAGTATGTAAATAGATTTTTTGAAGCGGTCGTCTATCGTTCTGTATGTGTATTATGCATGTACACATTTAATAATTCAATGATTTTACAACGATAGATGGATGCATCTTGAGACTTTGGCTTTGTATGGAAAATCCTGAGCTGAAGGGGATAGATACGCTGGCAAGGGGATACATAGATTAACAGGGGTTTCTTATGCTGATGTGTAGGTAGGTAGGTAGGTAATAGTAACTCAGGTAATAGTAACTCGTCTACCTAGGTACGTAGATATTTTCATAGAGTACATAGGTACACGTACGCTGTAGATAATGAATGCACTGGTTATTTTGGCTATTTCGTCACGGAGATAGAAAGATAATGGGTCTAGATAGGTACTAGATACTAGATACCTACCTACCTATACGCGTAATGTAAGATACAGCTATGGATGTACTTGATTTCCTTTTTTTTGCTACCTACCCGAGGTCTATAAATCTGTACTTCACAATCTAATTTCGGATTTGATTTCACAATTCGCTGAGTTTGTTCTTGTGCTTTGAGAGAAAAACGGATACGCTGGGTTGGTGAATGAACGGATGTTGAATATCTGGAGATGTGGAGATATGTAGATGGGGAAATGTGTCATGGAAGAGGGAGGCGAGGATCACGAGATATAGTGTGTATTGGGAAAGCTAGGGATGGTTTGAGATGAGATGATTGCAGGGCGGATGTGTTATGGTAAGTGGATTGTGGATCGCAGATATGAAATTCTAGGTATCTAGCTAGATGATATTGTAATTGGTAGTTTATGGTAGATGACATAGGGGATTGGTCGTAATCCTAACTATGCTGTGTTGTGTCTTGTATGGTTCTGTATACGCGTTATTATTCAGACGCTGGAGCATATGACGCGTGGGAAGATGAAGGTTGATTCTATGACACTATGGGGGTTTGGGTGTGAGAGCATTTTGGGCGCGTTATTGGAAGTGCAATCTCCATTGTTGAATCATTTCATGTTCCTCTCTCACTGCCGCACACTCATTATATATACGCATCATGCCATACCAGATCAGATCAGATGATTCGCCCAATTGCAGTCTTCTCCACCGCTCATCTTTCCAGGTATCATTGTAACATCCTTCTCTTCTATTTTCTTCTCTCCATGCACACGTATCCAAATCCTAACTTTACTTCATCACATCGACGCACTGTAGCTATCTCCAAATGCAAATATACATATTTAAAACGGTATCGCGTTCGAGACCTGTCCGTTGATATCCACAGGTGCTCCTAACATTCTGATTTGTGCACTATCGTTAGTTGTCATAACTCTGACATTGGCTTGTGATGTGATGATGAGTGATAGATAGGAGAGGGAGAATCAAAAGCTGAGAACCTATTTTTTACCCACTTCCGTAGCGCAGCAGCCGACGAAGAGCGAGGCTGGCCAACATACTAGCTATTGTATTTGTCAGTTGAAAGCGACCTTGGAGCGGTAGCAGGGCTAGCTGTATATAGGAGACTTGTAGCTCATAAAACTGTTGCTAGTGCAGAATGAGGAGGGGGGGGGATTGGTCATACTCACAGCGCTGAGTACTCCAACTCCGAATCCAAGTGTGGGACCGACTACCTTAACATGACATGGATTTTGATCGGTACCACATTGGATACAGACAAATGGAATTCCGAAGTCGCACATTTTTGGGGTTAGGATGAGTTTGGATTGATGGGGAATTGGAGGGAGGGAAAGCGATAGGATGAGGTGTGATGATGAACTTGAGCTAAGATGTGAAAGTTTGAGGCGATTCTGATTCGGGAGAATGGATCAATTGATGGGTATTATCTAATATGGATGGAAAGAGATGGGAATTGTGCAGAATGCCATAGAATGTCATCAATCTACAGGAGGAGAGGAGAATGAAAAGAATGGATGAGAAGATTGGAAAGAAGATGATGGGATTTGCATTGACTAGATGGATACTATGGATGTTATTAGTACTTACTAGGTATAGCTGAAGGAAGATTGAATGTCTTGGCTATTAGAGCTCAGAAACACTTTCCAAGCTTGATGAAAGTAAAAATTCATCGCATTTTACCTACCAATACGTAGGTGCCTAGAAAGTAGTATGTATGGTATGGTTAGATCAAAGAGAGGTTTGGTGAATTATATTACCAAATTTATTATTAGCTGTTCATGCTGACGTAGTGATCTACCACTCTATTTTCTACAATGTTTTACATCAACCGGTGTCAGTTCGGAAGGGTTTTTCATTGGTTTGAGGAGAGGCACAGGGCATTAGATCGGTCTGATTCATCTACGGAGTATTTCATCTGAATGTCTGGGGATGGAAGTGTTTCATCTGGGGATATGTTTCAAGGTTAACATGAGGATTTGCCTTTCTTATTTTCTGTACTCGAGTATGGAGAAGCGAGAGAAGCGAGAGATGTAGATAGATGGGGATTTCCAATGTGAATGTGATAAACGGATAGACTCCATTTCAATTATTAACATTTTTGAAGAAGATCACTATCACCCAGGTAAGCGTGACTATCTAGATACTATGAGGTAGGTAGGTATATACCAAGTAGCTAGTATGGAGTCCACCGTATGCAATTCCAAGGTTGGGGGACACCTAAGAGATGAATAAGAGTTGATGATCATCTGTTTTCCCTGATGGGTAGATTATATCTACTCGATGACTCTGGGCTACCTATGGACCTACCTTAAGTACCCTATTAGGCAAATAGAATGAAACTTGGAGTCATCTATCAAAGAATAGGTGAAAGTTGGAAACATCTGCAGCCATTCATCCAATTGCCCATGCATGATCAACAGAGAAAGTGTGAGTGAGTCCATACACGCTACGGTATATTCTCTTTCTCCTCCAAAAGTGGAGTGGGAGTGGAATGGTTCGAGGGAAAATTGAAGAGAGATTCTTGATAGCTGATACCGATACTGACTGGGTACGGCTTAGATACTGGTTAGATACTCGTTAGTTGTTTAGATAGACCTCGATAACTTGTAAATTTGATAGATACCCACCTACTAGACCGGTAGAAAGAACATTAACTTTTACCTACAGCTAATCAAGTAACGCCATTCGATAAACTTTACCTAATCATTACAGTCACGTGGGTCTTATCCGGACCCTCTATCGAAAAATAAATCCCGATGTACTCCCCTTCCTTCCTTTCCGCATCAATTCTGACGTCGAAAATCGACATCTTCGCACCCTCGCAACCTGCGAATCTTTCGCAACCATACCGCAACAACACCCTACCTGCATGACATATCGCTTTCACACTTCACATTAAGAAGGTGAACGAGTTGTTTTTAGCAGCGATGACTTCATCACAGATGGCAGAGGCCGTTCCTCAACCTGTCGCGCCCGTTGCATTAATGTCTACAGGCATTCACTTCGACTCTGATCATATCGAGATGTTCACATACCCCAAACCTTCTCACGATAACAACAGCCCCGTCTTTGCAGAACAAGACAAGTCTGTTGCCGCTGCAATGGATACAACTCTTCCTTCGAATTCAGCCCAACCATCGACAACAAGTCTCCTTCCCGAGATCAAGAAGTCAAGCACTCCAGAAGAGGCACTCAATACTACGAATGAAACGGGATATACAGGATCGGAAAACCATACTGAGAACAACATTTCCGCACAACCCACAGTGCCAATCGATTCCGCAATGGAGATGAGTAATGCGACAATTAAACAGGAGTCGCATAAAAAAGAGGCCAACGATACCAACCCCGAAATTTTTGGACAAGCTGGTCCGGAATCAACAGTTCAACCCACTCAGGCACAACTACAACCGTCAAATATTGGACCCCTTGCCTCATTTCCTTCTTATAACACGACAAATGTACTTGTAGATCCTGCGAACATATATGGCGCGGATATGAATTTGGATGGCAACGTATGGGCCTATGACCAAACTATGGACTTTCCAAACGTTGCGCCCAACCCGGACTTTTATAATCGACAACCTTTGATAGACCCAGGAGTGCAGTTGGATGGTTATGCAAAGCTAGCTTTTGATGATTCGGACTTTTATATGACTACACATGAATTGATCATAGGTCGTGATCAAAATGGGTACAACAATATGAGAAGATATGAGAAGGAGCATGAGGCAATGAATACATCAGAATTCTCCTCGTTTAAACCAACCATGCAGATCGAAAGTCATACTGGTGGTATCATGGATCCTTGGGTAAAATTGGCAGACAGGCGAAGTCGCAAGGGGAAGAAGAATAAGGGCTCAAGATCTATCAGTGGGAACAGTGCTACTGCTGGATCACTTTTGCCTCCTGCAAATGGAAACATGTCACTTCAAAACCCCGATCCGCATAGTTGTCCTGTCCTCCATGTACATCCTCCATTCAACAAAGGTGTAGCGGGCTTCAAAGCTATATCCAGAGAACACGTTAAAATATTTTATGATGACCATCAAGATAGTTTCAAAGTAGAATTCCTTGGTAGAAATGGAGGTTTTCGTGGACGATATATACTTCGAGCCCAAGCAGATAGCACCATTAGTAAGTGGTAGCAAATTGCAAATGGGTTTTGTTTTCTTTAGATTTCTGTTACCAGATGTCGTAATCGATGACACAGGGTTCCAGTATCATGAAGAACCCGAAGAAGAGGCGACGGCTACTGCGACAAACAACCTATTCGGAAGGAGGGAAAGAGATGAGTCTCAGTTTTGATGATGCACCACGAGCTGGTGATCAGAGGTCTACCGATAGCGAATGCTCTTCAGATAATGAAAACGATTTCGGGGTGGACGAAGTTCCTGACAACGAAGTGGACAGAGTGGAGGATCTCGATCCTTTGTACCCCTTAGGAGTAGCGATTGACGAAGAAAAAGACGCCGAGGAAGCAGAATCCCCTGTTGACAACTCAACGGACAGTAGCCCACAACCTACAAAGAAACGTGGACCAGGACGCCCGCCTAAGAATGGTGTTATGTCCAAACGTGAACAACAAATTGCTAAGAAGGAAGCCCTGGAAAGAGAGAGGATTCAAGAAGAAGAACGGGCTCAAGAAGAGCAGAGGGTTGAAGAACAAAATCAAGCAACAGCCTCGAAAACTATACCTGGTAAAAACAAAGTTGGTAGACCAAGAAAGCATCCACGACCAGATGTTACGGAAGAAGGACCACCACGACAAAAACGCAAATATACCAAGAGACAATCAGGCCCTAAGACCCCTGAGGAGGGTGATGAGGACAGATTTGATGATGATGGCAATTGCATACAAGCCAAAAACGGAAGCTCCAGAAAGGTTGCTTATGTTTTGAAAGAAGTTACACACAAAAGAGAGGACTTTACTGCGGATCAACTTTCAAGGCCACCAAAGAATTATCTTCAGGTCATTTTTGAGCTTCTACAGGAAGCAGAGCAGCCTTTGTGTCTCCCACAAATCTATAACGAGATGGAGGTCCAGTATCCGTATTACGCCTTTCAAGAATCAAAGGGGTGGCAAAGCAGTGTGAGGCATAATTTAGGACAGCATGAATGTTTTGAACGTACTAAACGTGCTGGTAAAGGCTGGGCTTGGACTCTGAAACCCGGTTCCAGTTATCTAAAGGAGAAGAAGAAGAGAGCACCCTCACCTCCAGTTGCAGGTGGAAATCAACCAATATATCAAGCTGGCCCACCAGTTTCTGGTTACGGTCAGCCTCCGCCTGGATATATGTTGAATCCCAATTTATATCACAATCAGATGAACCCACATGCACAAGGGGAGTATCAACAATATCAACCAGGCCAGCCTTACATGGGCCCAAATCCTCACTATTCTCCTTATCCTCCTCAGGGTTATCATCCACCTCAAGTCATTCAGCCACCTTTCATTTCTCCAATGGCACCTCAATTGGTACCTTCTGCGCCTGCTTCTTATAGTTCCCCCTATGCTCCGAAGCCACCTGCCGCTGGAACACAATCTCAAGGCACTCAACAGCAACCTCCACAGCAAACTTCGCAACAGCAACCTCAACAACAACAGGCCCAACAACAACAGTCTCAACATCAACAGGTCCAACATCAACAGGTCCAACAACAACAGCCTCAACATCAACAGGTCCAACAACAACAGCCTCAACATCAACAGGTCCAACAACAACAGGTCCAACAACAACAGGTCCAACAACAACAGGTCCAGCAACAACAGCCTCAACATCAACAGGTCCAACAGCAACAGCCTCAACAGCAACAGCATCCGCATCCGCATCCGCAAAATCCACAACATCAACACCCATATCCACAGCCTCAACAGCCTCACTATCAACCACCGCAGCCACCGAAAACGAACCAAGCACCAGTGCAATCACAGCAACCACAACCACCAACTGGTCACCAAACCCAGACAGCTGCTCATGCTGCACCACAAGTTGCGCACGGAGCTTTACCAGCCGCGACTCCTCAAAAAAGAGTCATTCCTCCTAACCTGGTCGCTGCCATAACTGCTTATCGTAATCATGTTGCCAACTTGATCCGAAAACGAGCTCCAAATGATGCTGAGGCCATTGTTGACAAGGCCATAAATCGAGTCTATGATGGCACCGAAGAAGATCGTTCTCTTGATAGTACTGAACATGAGATGAAACTTATCAATGGTGTTCTCAATATTCTTAAGTTGCCCCCTGTTCCTCGTGCACCTCCTGCAAACCAAATTCATGCTCAACCACAACCTGCTGTACCGCAACAGGTTCCCCAGCCGCCGATTAATCAGAACAAACCTCAAGGCAACATAGCTCAACAACCTGGAAAACCCATTGGGGCAGACCTTCCAAAACAAACGATCATGCGACCATCGTTTTTTGGAACCCATCAAAATCAATCCAGTAACTCTTCTGTACCTAGACCACCATTGATGACACCAGTCCTGCAAAGAAGCAATTCAGGATCTGCTCCTACACCTTCCAGACCAAATACAGCCTCATCCTCTTCTGTGCCGTCTAATCCCTCAAACCCACCACCACAAACTGCTGTTTCGGGCAACAACAAAATTAGTGGTACCACGCCACCTGTCGCAAGCATAGTCAATCAAACCATTGCACAGCCTGTTGATCAAAATGGAACAAACGAGAAGGGAACTAATCAGAGCGGAACAACTCAAATTGGAACCAATCGGCATGGAACAAGTCAGAGTGGAACAAATCATGGGCTCAAAGCCGGTGAAACTTTGACAGAGGCGGGTTTCGTGCGAAGTTTCCCTCATCCACCAATCTCCAGTTGATGAGACATGTCACATTACGTAACATTTCATTCAGGTATAGAGTGAGTATCTGATAAAAATCAGTTATTTCGATTCCACTCAATTGGGCATGCACGCCCACATACGGAGTATATATTTGAACTTAAAAAGTTTTTATTTCATTGCATTAGCACATGATGATTATACGAGAGGAAAGGGTTAATTTCAATTTTTAATGCGGCGTTGGGAGCAACGGGACAACTTGGGTCTTTGTCGCTTTCGTTGATTTGAAATGGATTTGGCCAGACTTGGCATTGGGATTGGGCATTGGCATGGGCGTGGGCGTGGGTCTGGGCATTAACGTTATACGAAATGATGCAGGGCATATGCTTAGTGAATGTATTAGGGAAAGAGTAGGCGTTCTTATAGATATCCCATCCGCGAGACGATTAGTATACTCTAGCATACTCAATCCTGCATAGCAGCGGTGGTTCTTTTCTTTTTGGGAATGGGAACTTGGAGCTTGACCACAAGCATAAGGGATGGCGTATTTGAATTTTGTTTAGTTTTCTTTATCATGTCGATTTGGTTGTTCTTTTATGAACAGATAGTATCGAACGCCTCTTTTGGCTCTTTACTCGGGCTTTCAGGTGTCGGTTTTGGGTATAAGACGTAGCTTGATCGGGTGACATCTAGCTCCGGATTGGGGCAAAGCGTTGACTTTGGTGATTCTTTTGATTTCTTGCCTTGTTTGTTGGGTCGATGACCCAGACGATGAGAGGGAAGTTGGAGAATATTTTCTCGAGGTCTAGCGGGTATTTTAATATGGAGACATTACCTAGGTACACATTCGCGAATGGGGAAGAGAAGAAGCAGGGACGTGATGGAATGAAATATGTACATATGAGTCAATAGGAATGTGTTTGTTAAGTTTCATGGGTTTTAAGACCCTAAGAATCGTCTGGGATGTGAGCATGTGATTTTGTATGTGTGATGATTTTTGAATGATCATGAGGGGATCACAATGATTAGTGAGTGCGAAGTTCTATATCTATTTTCTGAGTACGTCTTACTGTCGGCCCTTTATACCCTTCATCGTTCGGAACATGTATGATGGCTACATACCTGCCTACTATTTGAGACTAAATGTTTACCTCTGACTGCTTTGTGCCTTCGTTGTGGATATCAATCATAGTATGTTTTTTTCTCATAGAATAGGAAGGATGAGTTTGTTAATAATGAGAAAGTGGATTAAGATGTTTTGGGGGACATGATCAGAGGATGGGGAGAGGCATGAGGGGAGAATGGAATGGGATAGATTGATACTTGGTGAGAAGAGAGAGGATGAGATTGCAATGGGTTAGATGATGTAGAATATCTACTCTGTAATATTTAGATATGGGAGGAGAATTTGGATAGAGTGGATATGGGTAGATGGGATGGTCAATGGTGGGATCATAAGATGATTGATTGATGGGTTTGGGTGTATGGGGTGGGAGTTGGTGGGATGGAATGGTGGAAGAGATGATCTTTCGGGTGGAAACTTTTTGATTGGATTGGATTGGATTGTATGATGTTGAAATTGGGATGGGAAGTAGAGTGGAGGGGGATGGGATAGTATAAGAAATGTATAAGCGCTATGCACTTTGACTTTAACTTCAAGATGTGAAGTCAAATTGGAGGTTTGTGGAAAAACCTAGAAAGGAGAGTTTAAGGATTGACACTCGTTAAGATGCTGCAAGATGTGTATGTTCATATATAGCAGGAGAGAAACTATAGGGGTTTGAGTTATCTTATCTTGGGGATGAGATGTATGGGATGAATGATTCGTGTGTAGTGAGATTTATAGATTGAGAGAGTACGTGGCAATTGGTGAGAGGTGTAGAAGATAAACAATATCGAGGTGTTTGTAGATAGAATTCTGATTATCTATTCCTCTTGCTATGCGGAAAGAGCGGGAATAGTTGTTGATAGCTTGAGTGTGTATACAATCTCTGAACGGCGAGTTTGCTAGGTATATATGGAGAGGACCTCGATGATATGATGGTATGACATATATTACATCGCGCATTAGACGAACGCCGGTTGCACACTCTATCCCATAGATCTCTTGATGTGCAGTTTTGATGTGTGCGTATAGATCACGTTTGATTAAAATGTAGCTTTTACCTTGTTTTACCCTTTACAGAACGTTCATCGAAGCATTTGATTCGGAATATCCTATCCACTTCCGAGGAGCTATACATTCATTCTACATATCTCTACAACCCGCAACCATGTCATTGGTAGAAAGGTAAGAACATTGCATTCTCATTACAGATATGTATCAGCATCGTCACTAAGCATAACAAACCCACACAATCCGTATATACCATTTCATCAACATCTTTGTTCCTCCATCAACAAAACCCGTCCCCCTTTACCCTGCCTCTCCGCCCTACGCTTATCCCTTTCCTCCTATATTTCCCTACCTCTTCCGACCCGACCCGATATCTTACCTCATCTTACCTCATTCCGCCTCATATTATTCCATCTCGTACGCTCCGAGATCAGAGTACCGACCCTGCATATACATGCATCAATGCCGTTTCTTATGCGAGACGGCAGACTTTCCGTACCAGTGGGAGAAGAACTGTGTATTAGATCTTACATGTAGTGTTGTGGTATACTCTTTGGATTATGATTCTGTGTTATATTTGATTTCTTTAATGGGTATATATGTATGTTTGTGATACCGTCAGATACAAAGAACAGATTTCCTGTGCATGAAAAGCTACGCATAGGCCGGTAGATATAGTGCATGCGTGATGGGTTGGCTTTTGATTGCATAGATACATTTACATATCTGCAGTATGTACAGGAAGATGTGAAATGTATATGTACAACTTTCGATAAATAATATGTGACAGGATTTTTACGTTGTGGGACGGATGATTGCCATCGAAGATGAATGAGATTTAGCTGCTGTATATACCCTGCATATTTATTCTCTATCGGTTGTTCAGTTACTTGTCAAATGGCCTCGATGCAACAATACTTTGAATGAGATCGGATGAACGGAAATCCTTGGCATGGCAATCATATCGTGTTTTGTTTCATGTCGGTGAGTGCATTGATGTCGTGGTCGCTGCATGACGAGCCGCTATTGACTTTGCTGATTGCGGCGCTTCGAGACGGGCGCCATCGAAATGGACAGCATAGTTTTATATTAGAGCCAACTGCATCACCGCTTTTTAGCCGAATATCCTTGATCAATAAACTGTTCAAATAGCCTGACAACCAATCAGCCAATTATGGTTTCTGAGTAATCACCTGACTTGATGCTCAATCTCGTCGTCATTTCAAATGCTCATCTGATTAAAACTACCAACACTGCTCCAAAGCTAGCTCCTGGAACCCGATTATCGCTATCTACACACAAGACTTTGAAATATGTAACGAGACAATCTCTTCTCTTACGTGATTATGATTTCGCAAGGCTAGTATCGTTTTCCGTGCTCTTGTATATTTCCACTCTATCTTCATGATACACCCATATTTGGGGGCCAAAAACTGATTAGATGCCGCGAAATATCTCGCGTTCCACCAAGAAACAGCTCTTCATGGGTGTAACTCCACCGCATAATTATCAGGCGCAGAAAATTTCTGCGAGGTCAGACATAAATCCCGGAAGCCGGATCACACATGCATGGCCGAGAGTTACTGTGGTGTTGGGGAAGACCGGTCCGGTCGTTAATTATCCGCGTGGCCGCGCGGAAGGGAGGAAATTCGATACGACGACATGCAAAAGAAAGGGTCGACTCAGACCCAACGATCAAAACATCTGAGGACAACGCAAGTTCTAAGTTCAGTAATAGCTGAGACAGAAAGAATCTGAAGACATCTATTGGATACTCGGATCCGGTCAGACGTATCACGAATCACTGTGTGTAATCAAAATTTATTTGTGAAAACCGGCATTGAGGTATCTCGAGTAGAATGATCAGAGAAATTCATGCTCTCATGGCCGGGCAAACGTTTCCACGATTTTCAAGTATAGCCAAGAGATGTAAGTCGCTCTTAATGGTACCAGTGGAATAAGGCTCTGGATGATAGTTTTTGCAAAAAGACAGAAGGCCAATAGGAGGCACTTCATCACATGAATTGGATGGTGTTGACAGTTCACAAGTTGCGAGTAACTGTCTCCTCTCTCTGTGTACTGCGCGGAGAAAGCTTCGAAAATGTCATCGAACCCCCACGAACTTTGGGTTGATCAGTTGTCAAATACTTCTGACAAATATGATATCTATCCTGAGCTTCTGATGTTTCTTTGGATAGGCGAATAGAAAAGAATGTTCCCTTCATAGACTACAAGACCCAGTCAACTTCGCCCAAACTAAATTGCTCAGGCCTGATCATATGGTGTAGTGGGTGTTTTAAAGTCCCAAATAAGCCAGCAGGTATGGGGCATCAAATAAGATGATGGAATGTTGAGCTGGCATTCAGAAATAAAGGAAGGAATTGGATGATCAGTTTCCAATGGCCACGAAACACCAACTTCGGTAGAGAAGGACAAAGAAAGGATGCATATCTATGATGGCCAAGTAATCGGGGAAACTGTGAAGTGTGAAGGTTGGAAGGATTCATTTTCCATTTGGAATACGCTACCCATACAAGGCGAGACAATCTTCTTCGCAAATTCTCGGGCTTGGGTGATAGTTAGCGGATCTGCGATAAGAGAAAGAAAGCCCGCCGAGAATTAGATTATGATCAGCGATCTGCAGATATAATCCTATCTTCGTCGACTTTCTTGAAACAGGTATGCTTCTTGATCACTCTAAATTCAACAATCCACTTTGAATCCCAAGATCAAAATTCAAGAAACGCCAAACTAAATCTGGATCTTCGATGGATTCCAACTTTATCAGCCAAATAACTTAGGTTGCATGTGGAAATTTTGAGAAGCATTTCGTAGAATTTGATTGATGTCCTCGTGATATTGTTTTTGCATGAAATCTTCCTACTGCAGTTCTTCGTAACACGACTGTATTCTTGCTGCAATGTAATTATCCTCATATTCCAGCAATGGAATGCCACGAGAAATACGCACCGGAGGCGGTTTATAGCGTTGCATTTCATTTGCACGGTTAGTACCCTTTAGTATCTTATGATTACTAGGGAGTATGCTGGAACCAATGGGGTGTGAGAAGACAAGCTCGCCAGTCCGCCTCAACAAGGCGATTAAGATATTGGCTTCCAGACACCACTATTTCCCGGAATGTTATATTGTATGCAGACCTCTCTGCAGATACGTGTAAGGTTGCTGCGATATTTGATTCAGCTAGTCGACTTAGCAACAGTTTATAAATCCACAAAATCGTCCAATTTCAATAAGACGTTAAATGAGGGGCGTTGATAGCTCCTGATGTCTACTGCCACCTCCTTATTCGTAACAAGGCTCTTATAAAATGCCCGAACATCCATACAAAAGGATGTCATAGACGAGTGTATATGGTGATACATAACCAGTCCATACCCCCTTAATCCTCTTGCTTCTCACCCATCTTCCTGTGATTCCATCGCCAAGTGCAATGTCTTCTCAACTTAATCGATACTGGATACCCAATTTTGATATCAACAAGAGAGTCATCACCAAGGAGATCCAATACTATCTGGGACCAGAATCCACGCTGAGGCCATATACACGAGACGTACGTGATGAAAATTTCAGCTGCCAAATAATCATGCTCACGGGGTACATAGGGAGAAGACGGATATCTGATTAGCACACCAGGAGAGTGCTTGACAGATGTGAGCACCATTATATACAAAAGACCGTCTGAGAGTCTCGATTAATTTGATATATAGGAACAGATAGACGATATCTGTATCAAGTCGAAGGAGCTCTGGGAGAAGCAGGCAGCGGCTCGAGCCAAGAAAGAGTCAGACAAGCAACTAAAGCGGCCTCTGCACCAGCCAGTCATAATTTCAAGAGGCTCAAAGCCCCGTTCCTCAAGGTCCCATCGGCCGGATCATAAGAGTTCTTGATATTCGAATGGCCTAGGCATAAAAGAGGACGAAAATGATCCTAACGATGCAAGTATCTTGCGCGTGGATATTCCAGCGAGAGCTAAAGAGCGTGGCATCGTTTTCATTTCATAGAACAAAAGGGCTCGAAGTCTGCCACAGGGCAAGGATACTAAGCTGTTGCGGAAGTAAAAATGCATAGAGCTTGCATACATCTTATTGTTGCTGTTGATATCCTGGTTTCTGATGTAGCCTTCGCATCTTTTGGAGGTGTGTTTGTTTGCGTATAATCTGCATATCCTTCTACATATCTGCCATTGTTCCAGTATAGGAAAATTCATATGTTGGCACAATTTCCCTCGAGATGTAAATGTCGTGAACAGATGTCAGTATCTAGAAGCCATTCTTGCCAATTGTGATTTTTTGACAATGCAAACCAAAAGTGCCATTCCCTCTATGGAGGCGATCAAAGGTCCTGTGACTGTTTTCGCTCTGTCTACCGCTCGAGTCATAATCGTTAGCTATACCACTAGTCTTAGTCGTATTTGATGCAGCCGACATTAGGACCCGTTTAAAGCCTCACGATCCCGGACATCTAGGTTGAGGTGAGGCTGCATTTTAAATGCGACCGAATAGCATGTTAGGCTGAGTTGATCTGCAGCCAAGAACGAAGCGAGGCATTACATGTAGTTGCAGCTCTTTATCCTTGCACTGAATTTACCGGACTTTGGCGACATAAATTTTGTAGTAATTGTATTGACAATATAGACTTTCCAATCGTCCCAAGACAACAATTAGTGTTCCATTCAGTATTGGAATTTAATCATTTCTTAATTATGAGAGGAGCAAATTCTCAAGACCGACTTAATGAAGCCTTTTGACCTCAACACAAACTGAACTCAAAACCAACATTGACCACATGGGATTTGGGTACTACTCGATGCCGTCTGTTTATCATGTTCCTCTAGGGCCCCGACTGATCTATAAGACCCAAGAACTTTGATCTGAATCGGTTCGTAGGAACGAAAGTTAGCGCGGCCCCCAATGTCAAAACCACTCTGACATTGCCAGAGATATCGCCGGCATAGTGATTGCATGCAATGGAATACAAAGACTCTGTATATGGAGACTATGTTAAGCTTTTCAGGAAAAGATTGCGATATCTGGAAAGAGTGCGGTTTTCACTCAGGTTCGGGATGGCTTGTGAGGATCCTCATATTTGGTTCGAGTTTCAAACAAACTTGAACAGTTCATTTCTGCAACACGTATTGCAACTTTGAAGGTCTGATGTGTCCAATATCAAGGCCTAAGACTTCTTTCATATGCATCGAGTTGTATAGGACCGGATGACCACAAGGCAATTGCTTGAATAGCAATATCAGTCCCTAATTTAAGAGTTTTGATATCTTGTGGTTCATCTGTGTCTGCTACATAACCCACAACATTGACCCACTCTCCAACCCGGGTTTCATGTTGGGTTAAGCTATTCAGCAGAAGTTGAACATTGACAGAGGCTTTGATCCCATTGCCAATGGGAAAGTTGTGTTCCAAAGTAAGAACAGCAGAGCCTCTGTTATAACTTATCACACTGTATAAGTGCAATGTCAGTCTAACTCTATTTGAATTATAAACCTTTACAAATTGCTCTGCCGAGTACTTGGGGAACTCTCCTTAGAACTGGTGAGTAGCTAAGATCTGACAGAGAATGTCTGTTTTTTTTCGGATAAGAGAAATGAGGGATTACTAATATACATTGTAGAAAATGAAGTTTTTGTTGAAAAGAAAGAGGAGTTAATAGGGGGGATATCAATCATACCATCCTAAGAACCGAACTTTATCTCCTTCTGAAAACTGTGGAAGGTCGGCAAGTAATATAAGCTTCGAAGGGTTAGGTCCCGAATATTGTTTTGACATATTATTTGTTCTAACAACCAACTCAGAGAAATTATACTATGGGACTATGAGGAAAAACAAAGGTATTGGTGTTGTTGTTGATTCTTGTGGTAAAACTTTACCTGACCTACGTGAAACTCGAGATCACCGGATGGCTGGGCTGGAACAAAGCATCGCACGTGATTCCTGATCTATCATGCGCTAACCTGATATAGACGAGGGGACTAGCGTCATCATCGACGCCATGTTACCACACTTTCATCATTCACTTCAATCAACTATGCGAAACAACCGTAGGCAACCACAAAAACATTTATAGAATCCCACCAACAAAACATACTCGACACTACTGGTTTCATCTTCCACAGCCAGCCAACTCGTCTACTTGCCTTTACCGTCTTTGTCCGACAAAACCAAGCTCCCCACTATCAAGTTCCGATAGCAGGCCTTATCAAACCCTAATCATTAGCCACCACTTCGATCGATTTCGAGCCTTTTCAATCTCCTCATAATTTGCGAAACAGCGCTGGGGACTTGAAAGTCCTGCCAACCCAACGATTTCGAATCCGCACAGTATCGTGAAATATGTCGGGTGTCTGGGGCTGGTTTGGGGGAGGGAGTGCGCAGAAAGCCAAGGACTCCCCGAAGAATGCTATCTTAGGACTACGTGCGCAGCTTGAGATGCTGCAGAAACGAGAGCGTCATTTACAAAGTCAAATGGACGAACAAGATGCGATAGCTAGGAAGAATGTTAGCACAAATAAGAATGGTATGTTCTATTTCTCCGGACCGTATATATAGCAGCTGCTGATATTTGCTTATTTCTTAGCTGCGAAGGCTGCATTGCGCCGGAAGAAGCAACATGAGCACACTCTAGATCAAACTATTGCGCAGATATCGACGTTAGAACAACAAATATACTCTATCGAAGCAGCCAACATTAACAAGGAGACTCTCCTTGCCATGGAAAAAGCCGGCAAGGCAATGGCAGCTATCCATGGCAAACTTGATATCAACAAGGTTGATGAGACAATGTACGTTTTTTGTGGTTCGATGAAGATGGAGATAAAGGCTAATGTATATACTTTTAGGGACAAACTTCGAGAACAGCATGCTTTGGGCGAAGAAATCGCCCAAGCTATTACGAGCGCACCTCTCGGCGAGCCTATAGATGAGACTGAGCTCGAAGACGAATTGGCGGATCTTGAACAAGAGCAGTTAGACAATAAGATGCTAAAGACTGGTTCCGTGCCAGTCTCTGATGAAGTTCATAGGTTGCCATCTGTTGTGAATGGAGAGGGTGAGTTTCTAATACCCTTGTTATTCTTTTGTTGAAAGTTACTAATGGTTCAATTTCAGTCAAATCCAAAGCACCCGTTCATGTTGAAGAAGATGACGAAGAGGAAGAACTCCGAAGGCTACAAGCTGAGATGGCCATGTAATTCAAGAACAATAAATCCAATATTGAGTGAGTGGGTCGTTGGGCTTTCTGGTTTTATCAGTTTATTTTGTGTACGGGGGGAGGCGTGCGAGATTCTTTTGGGAGGGCACTGGCAGCTTCAATTTTCAATTTGCACAAGAGAGGATATCGGGAGTTTCGAATCCATTAACTGCGACGGCGTTTGGGATTTGTTGTACATCTGTCAAACGGACACCGAATACCTTCTATTACCAATAAACTAGAATAACATCTACCAACAATGTAATGATGCATGTGGTTACCAAGACCCTCCTTGAAGTTCGCTCACATGACAGTCATTCACCGACCTGATACTGTGGATGGATAGATAGATACACATATACATACATAGGTACATGAAAGCTAAAGTAGGTATCCATCATGTCAGCCTCGCTTTTGAGTCATGTTTTACTCTCCTAGCTGAAACATTGGGGAGTCGACGACTAGCAGATACAAGTAGCAAAACACATCAAAATTCTATTTGAGGGGATGTTGTTATTCTTAAAGATTTAGATTCTGATTTATAATCCTATTTGGCCCAGTTCATTCGGATCATTTTTTTTTTAGCTATCGAATTAATTATAGAAATTCTCTTTGTTCAAGCCACTTCTGAATTGTTCTATCAACCACTCGTTTTTGGTCTTTTCGTACCCACACCACCAACACAACATCTTGTGCATCAATGCATCAATGCATCAAATATATGTAAGGTCTCACCATAAGTTATAACCCCTCATTTTCTAGATGCTTGAAGTGAGTTGAATTGACATATCGGTATCATCGACGGAATCGCTAAAAGAGCTAGATCCTCACCCCCTTGAAGATTATCGTACATCGGATACCCGGGCACCCAAAAGGATGGGTACAGTAACTCAGTAAGTACTAGGCGATAACTTATGTACCTAGTAGGTAGGTACTTGATGTAATGTATCTGTACTGACAACTCATCACGTCGCAAACACTATTCTGGGCATCAGCACCAAAAAGTTCCACCGGTGTGGCAAAGGTTACAATTAACCAACATCGTATGGATGTCATTGGAATCATTGGATGCCATTATCATTTATTGGGGGTCCGAAGAGGGGCTTTGCTTGTTGTGATGTTCTTACTCTTCTTTTTGCTTATCACATTCTGATTTCGGTCTCAATTCCACGATGATTGACAGAGGATAAAGCTGGATATACAGGATGATCATCTACTGGTTCACTGGCTTGATTGGCTTCGCTGGTAGGTGATCGCAAGCGTCAAAAAGATGAGGCAGGTATATAAGGCGACTGACCACGTTGCACAACCTACCAGGTCAATCTTCACGGCGCCGCGAAACATTTTCGGGTAGCAGTCTCGTACATCAAGATATTCAATGAATTGATTGAATGAGCTGACCAGTAGGCGTGGTCGCTGGTAGGTTATTCAACGCAATCATCAATCATCGTCCCACATCATCCAGTTGACATCTACCCCGTTTAGTACGACGTAGACGTATGAATTGAATGGAGGCTGCAAGCAGCAGGGGGTTTTGGCCCATTTTACCGGATTTATTCCTGCACATTACAATTTTTTCTCTCTCTGGATTTTGAATTTTCTGATTGCACGGTCTTGCCCACTTTCTCATCAATGTGCAGCTTGGTTGGCTGCACTCGGGGCCCTGCAACATAGATCGCGGATTGCCTCGAAAATCACATTTGATTATTATCATTGATTTGATTGCGACGTGGCTGCAATGTATCATCTTGGGCCAATAGTGGTTGAGCACGACCATGATTTAGGCAAATTTCCAATAATGCTGTCGACAAACATTGGCAAATCGTGGGATTACCGTGGGACTTCTGGCCCATCTCCATCTTATGCTATGGCAAAAAAGTGATACTGTACTCTCTTTTGTCAATGACTTCCTTCTTGTACCTACCAATGAAACTAATTTTCGTAGGAAATTCCGTTCTTGCTTCCGAATCTCTCTTTTAGTCTTGATTTTATTCATCATTCTATTTTCCTATAGGCGAACTATTTTTCGCCGTGCCATCTGCTGATATAAGTCATCTTGGATTCTTCAATTATTGTACCGTTCTCCATTCCAACCACGTTGAATCGATTCTCGGGTGGTAACCAAACGTTTGTCACCCAAAGATTGGGCACCCGCATTCAACCGGAGGCAACCCCCCTCGTCATTGTAGACCATGGGAAGAAAGGATCAAAAGAACAATAAGAAGGACGTTCAATTCGTTCATCACGTAGAGGATTCTGCATCTTCTGTTGCTTGTGACGAGGTACACACACCCTCAGTATGAATATTTCTTTTTGTCCAGCCAGAACCACGGCCATTGGTAGTAATTGGTCCTCAATCCAGACAACTCAGTGGGCGAAACCTTTAGTATTGGATACGTCAAAGATTAAAATTGCCAAATATTATGAGGGGAAGACAGGTAAGCTTTCCTGATTCCATGTCTGCATCTCGAAATTCCATCAAAAGTCTACAATCTTCCCCACAATTATTGTTTTTGATCAATCGAACAATCATGAATGTTCCACTTCCATTAAAAATGCAACATTGAATGCTTCCATAGACCTAGCTTTGCATTGCTAACCAAAAATATAGACGATGAAGATGACGAGGAGGATGAAGGTAATGATAATGAGAATCAAGATAAATTAGAGGGAATACCAGAGGAGCCAATAGAAACGAAAGAAACAAGCGATACCCCGCTGTCTGAAAGTGAAGATGGAGATCCACCCTCACAGGAGGAAGACATCTCCAAGGAGGAAGGGAATGAAAATACACATGACTTGGAAGAACAATCTCAGTCTCCCGAATGCGACATGCCCCTATCGACGACAGGTGAATTGACTGACTCGAAATTGATAGAGTCAACCGCGACTCCGGAAGAAAGTCTAGCGAATGATAGTACAGAAGCAGGTATGGAAACATCTTATATCTTGGAGTACTAAGTATCATCTTCACGTGTTCATGAACGCTACTTGATTGATCTCATCTTGTTATACTTAAGATTGCATTATTGACTTTGAAACAGTGCCGGAGCTAGAATCGAACCACAGTTTAGAAAGTCCTTCCGATCATACTCCAAATACATCCGATGACATCCCTCCTTCCGTTCCAGACGCTCCACCATCAGAAGATATACGGGACGACAGATATGCACTTAGTAAAATAGAATCCCATCAATCACATCCGTCAAATCATACAGTTCGTTTCGCCGACGACATTGCGTCAACAAGTTCCAGATCAAGAGACAAGAAGAGCAAGAGGAGTAGTAAGGATAGAAAACCATCTGTGCCCGAAGTCCCACGCAAACCTGAGTCTCTATTGAGTAAGAAGGTTAAAAGGAGCAGGGAAAGCTCACGGTCTACTGAAGACGGGCTACGAGTACCACCAGAAGTTCCAGACCCGCCCCAGCGGAAACATGCTGAGCTCGAAAAACATTCGAGGGGGGAGAAAAGGAAGGCAAAGGACAGGAAAGAGAAGGGCGACGCGAAGAAAAGTAGAAGCAAAGGAAGGGATGCTCCTAAAATGGCATTAGTACCAATACTGAAATCTTCGGAAACGGCAATACATAGTGATGAGTCTAAACCAGCTGAAAGTAATAGTGACGAAGCAGTCCAGGAGCCACAGACAATTCCAGATGTTGTTCAGCCAGTATCAGGTGAGTACTACTATTCCTTGATGAAGTTTTGAAATATCAATCTGCAGTCAACAATCAGACGTCATGAATAACATGTACTAACTATCACCTCAAAAGATCCAGACCCCCCACCTCTACCAGAAGTTAAACCAAGTGAAGATATAGAGGCCGAAGGAATGATACCAATACAAGAGAGCTTACCAACAAAACTTGAAGAACATCCAGATACCGAGGAGACACCAACCAGTGATGTACCAGCTTCAGATGACGTAAAGGAGGAAGAAGAAAACGTTTTGAGCATGCAAAACAATCAGGCCGTCTCCGAGGAAGATGTAGCTACAGAAGAGGCATCCACAACTGATGTGCCAATAACAGAAGATTCACAGGTGGGAGGTGGGGATATTCCGAGCACAGAAGACAATCCCGCTGCCATCGAAGAATCTCATGTTGATGAGGAAGTTCCTGTTACAAACGAAACGGTTGAAGTTGAGGATGGTAAGCTCATTGCTGAAAATGGGATGGAGATCAATGCGGAAGAGCCCAACAGTGAGGTTGTTTCGGAAGCTGCAGTGGAAAGCCCTATCGATGACGAGGAGAGTCCTTTACCGGATGAAAATGATTCACAAGATCCTGAAGTAGCAGAAAAGAGCTCGAGCAGCGAAGATATTTCAACTGGTACCGAGGAGATGTCAGCCCCTGGGGAAGAGGCCTTAAAACCTGTCGAATCCACACCAATAACTGCCACCGGCGAAGAAATTCTAAGCTCCCTGGAGACACCCACAACAATCGATGAGCCTCAACCAGAGGATGATACTCACTCTAGTGACGAACCGGCTATGCTGGAAGAAAGTACACATAATGATGACGAAGTACCACCTCCCATCGATCATGTATCTGGGGAAAACGTTGGATCAGACCCCCAAGTCGAACTTGATGCGAACGAGAAATCAATCGAGGAAAAGTCTTCCGAAGAGTCCGGTTCTGAAGAAGTCTCCGACCCAACCGAGCCAGTATCCCTACCCGTCCAGGAGCCAGTAGCGATCGAAAGTGATGTTCAAGATGAGGAGAAAGAAGAACTAAATCATGTCGATCATGCGACCTTGGAAACTCCAGAAGAATTTGTTCCGGACCAAACAGGCACAGAAGATTCAAAAGATGAGCCTATTCAACAAATCGAAGCCGAGAGGCCTAGTCCCGAAGAAGCTGGACCCGAAAGTGTTGAAACTCTTGAAGAAGCAAATAATCATACCGATGAAGAATCTAAGCCAAATGAACCTTCTCCTCAGCCAAGCGAGGATAATCCGGCGGAGACAGTGCCTAACAATGTCGATACCGATATTCTGACCCCCGAGGATCCGACTGTGACTACCGAGACTAATGACCTGACAGATCACGTGGAAGACTCTAATGTCGAGGATGATGTCATTCAAGAATTACCACAATCAAGCGATTCCGATGACAGTCCAGCCATTGAAAACAAGGTTGCTGGAGATTCTACCGAGGAGAGTCCTGAAATCAGCCCAGATACAGAAAGCGTTGAACCCAACGATAACGTCCTAGATATTCCAGCTATAATCGAAAAGTCACCTCAGGGCCAAGAAGATGCCCTCGTCAACCCCAAAGCTCTGGAATCTGATGCTAAAGTCGAACAATTGCCAATTGGGAGCGAAAATGTTCAAGAAACTCCAGTAAAAGACGAAGCTTCGGACGAGAGTCCTTCGGATGATCCACAACCTATAGTCGAGGGAGATTCAACACCAGAAACGTCTGTGGAAGAGGAAGCTTCGGACAAGAGTCATTCGGATGGTTCAAAAGCCATAATCGAGAAACATTCAACACCGGAAACGTCCGCGGCAGTTGAAGACATGTCTACCGATACGGGAGAAAGCAATGAGAGTCCAGAGAATGAAGAAACACCGATGACAATTGATCAAACCTCCAACGAGGCAGAAAGTGCTCCAGAATTACCGGAATCTGAAGAAAGTCCAACGGAGATTGAGGAATGTCAAGAACCACAAGCAGATGACGATACATTGAAACAACTCGAGAACGGCGTTGTACCGGCAGTGGTTAAGGATGACTTGGAGCTGGAAAATGTCTCATTAGGAGATGTTGAAGATGTTCATGAATCCTCAGAAGATGACGAGATAGCAGATTTACTCATGCCTGAACAGGATCCCGTAGTGATTGAGGAGACATCCAACCATCCAGAAAACGTGCCGACAGAAGATGCTTTAGACAAGACGGAAGCGATCCAAGAATCTCCAGAAGCCGGTCCAGTGCCTGAGGCTGACAATGAAACCATTCCTGTCAATACCGAAAATACTTTGGAACAACCAAGCGAGGAATCTCAAGTTGAATCTGGAGAGGAACAGCTTTCCAATGAAACTCAAGAATCGCCGGCTAGCAATGAACAGCGAATAGAAATCCATCAAGATCCTCCTCAGGATCCGAATGACAGTTTCGCACAAACAACTCCAGATAACACCAATCCCGAGCCAATTGAAGAACCTCAAATCGTGCTGCCTCCTACCGAGCACGATGACGAAATCGAGGGGAAAGAGTTGAAGGAATCCGATCCAATCGAATCGGAAAATGAGGCATCAAGTTGGGATGGCGATTCAAATGATGAAGATTCAGAATCTGATAACGAACACGAGGATGAGAACTCATCTGTTACCGAAGAAAATGGCCTTGAATCGGCAGGGGGTGAGGAGAAGCATTTGCATGAGACAGAAGAAATCAATGCTCCGGTTCTTAACAACGAATCAGATGAAGTTCCTGTTCCTTCCTTGGATAATGCATCCAAATCATTGGACGGAGAGGCTGATATTCAACTTGATGAAACAGCCAACATCGATAATACCAATAATCCTATCCCTGGAGAGGAACCCGTCGAGGGCATCCCCGAGGCCGTAGAGGAGAATAATCAGCCAGCTGTAACAGCTACCGTTAGAGATCCCGATACTCCTGTTTACGAGGAAAAACCTCCCGAAGACCTGCAGGTATCTGTTGCGGATAACCTTTCCGAAGCGGTGCTTGAGAAGGATGCTATTCAGCCAAGCGAAGATATCGATGTTGCAGAAGTTCACGAACCCGAAAAAGAAGTTATCGAAAATACAGAGGCCCCTGCCGTTGAAAGTCTTTCCGGATTAATCAGTGAAGGAGATAAAAATATCGACACTTCGGAAACTGACCCATCCCAGGAAATTGGCAATCCTACCCAAGAGTTAGGGGAAGACCCAGAAACACTCGTTATCGAAAGTGATACTCCCAAGGTAGTCGTCGAGGAAGAAGGACCAGTACATTCAGAAAGAGCAGTTCATGACGAGGAGACCGAAATTCCAGTGCCCGAGGACGAATCTGACCAGAGCCCGGATGCCCCTGCCATGGAAGCTTCCGAGCCAGTCAGCGAGGAACCCTCAGTTGAGATCATGGAAAATGTCCCATCCCAGGAGCCTGACAGTCCTGTTCCTGAACAAGGGGCAACTGAGGTGCCAGAAATCTCCGTCAATGAGGAAAATGAGCCCGAACCAGTTGTCGAAGACAAAGAACCTATTCAGCCCAAAGAAAGCGTCCCAAATGAAGATCCCAATCTTCCAGTCCATGAAGAACAGCCAGTTGAAGCGCATGAATCTCCTGCAGGTAAGTTGACATTAAATTTTCTTCCGCTAACTCACTTAATTACGACAAGATACTAAGATAGCAATGAATAGCCCCGGAAGAGGTAGAGAGCGATGCTATCACTGGTGATGTTGCTGCTAGTAAGTTTACCTACATTTTCAATATTAGCATTGTGCTTCGTCTGGTAGGGATAAATTCAGGGAAATAACAAATTCCATTAGTCACAGAAGACGAGACCCAAGCGATCGATGACCCCCATCCACCCGCGGAAGAGGATAAGCAGATTACTGAGAATGTAGAAGCTCCAGTCGGTAAGAGGCCACAAGAATTTATAATCAGAATTTCTGGCGTACTAATAAGTTATTGAAAAGAGCCAGATTCTATTCCCATCGATGCTACACCTGTTGAGACAATGGCAGATAAAGAACCATCAGTGGAAGCGCCCGAAGAAGAGGGATCTCTAGAAAAAGATGCTGGTAAGTACTGCATGGACTTTGTTATGTTGTATCATGAAATGTGGCTAAAAAAATGTCTAGATCCCGAGTCAATACATATGGAGACTGTTCCAATCGAAGAGCCTTTGACTGAAGATCTTCCTACTGAAGAGCTCCTTGCCGAGAATCCGCTTACCGAAGAGCCCGCTGCTGAAATTCCTCATACTGAAGAATCTGCTACCGATCCAATCCAGGAAAATTCAGCTGGTAGGTGTTTGATAGCTTATTTCTCCACCATTTCCCCAAAACAAGTTACTCACACCAAGATATAGAACAAGAGCCTGAGCCCACACCAAGCGAGCCTATTCCCGCTCCAGCCGAGGAATCAGCTCCTTCAGAACCTCCTATAGAACCAGAAGCCAGTAAGTGTCCCGGAGGATTTGAATTCCTTTCAAACTGGGCTTTGGATCCCTTACGCCGAGCTTCCCCAGAAAATAACAAGCTTATCGATTTATCCTCAGCAGCAAACGGTCCCCCTTCAGAGCCTGAGCCTGTGGTTATAGAAGAAATTGCCCCTGGTAAGTTTTCACTTTTTGTACACGTTATGGTAAATAAATTAATGCGGGGTATTTAGAACCCGCCTCAGTTGATAATCTCGAGGAACCTGTGATTGAAAGCAATCCCGAGCCGGAGAGCGTTAAGACAAAAAGTCCTATTGGTAAGTTATGTGTTATCATATATTCTGTACACATGGAACTGCATACGTATGTCCACGATCATTTGACACGTGTCGAATCTCATACTTCACGACAACTCCACCTATCCATTTTAAATATATTCAAAACTGTATATTATACGGCGTATATTCTATTGGCGAATTTCGGAGTCAATCTGCTTCAGATAAATTTCTACAACCCCAAGATGTGTTTCAGAGGCCCGGAAATTTCGAGAGCTTTCATGCCAAAAAATGACAAATCCAAAGTTTGAAAGAACAATGGGCGTTGCGAATGCGAATCGATCCAATAAACATCTCTCAGAGATGAAATAAAAAAGTGTCCTTACACACAAACTGACATGAACTGTTTCTAGAACCCAGCCCAATCATAGAAACTCCCCAAACACCTACCAATCCCATTGAAAATATGGAGGATGGGGAACAAGCACCACCTGGTACGTTATATCTTGGAGACCTTGGATTCATTCTCGTTTTGGGTCTAGAATTTATAATAGCCCAATGTTTCAGAGATAGTGATGCCCGTTTCCAACTCCCCCTTAATCCCTCAGTCCCTGACGCTAAGTTTTATGCAGAGTCTGAACCTACGCAAGTTAATGTCGTTGAACCAATTGAGGAGATTCAGGGCGAGGAACAACCTGAGGTTGTTGAAACAATAAAGGGTGTGTTGTCATTACTTTTATGGAACGAATGTATACTGACATTAAATAGATGATCCGACAGCTCAAGAGGTAGTCGCTGAGCAAGCTGAAGAGGCTGTAGCTCAAGAGCCAATTGAGGGATTGGCTGTTGAGCAAGTTGAAGAGGCTGTAGCTCAAGAGCCAATTGAAGAAGTAGCTGTTGAGGAAGCTGAAGAGGCCATGGTTCAAGAGCCAATCGAAGAAAGAACCTTTGGGCAGGCTGAAGAGGCTGTGGTTCAAGAACTTGCTGGGGAGCCAGCTACCGACCAACTCCCAGATGATACCACTAGCGAGGCGCCAATACTCGATCCATCTACAGTTGAGACTGCCAAAGAACCAGTTGTCCCGGAGCCAACCATCGAAGCACCGATTGAAGAACCCGTCGTCGAAGATGTCCAGGAATCAGTGGAGACATCCAGTGAACCGGATCTCCAACAACCTGTCGAAAGTGTCCAGGAACCATTAGTGGAAGCATCCAGTGAGCCAGACCTCGAACAAACTGTCGAAAAAGCCAGCGTTACACCGCCAAACGAAGAGCCCATCGCCCTAGTGGCTGAACAGCCGATCGATGATATAGTTGTTGCGGAAGCACTGCCTTTAGAGGAGCCAGTGATAGAGGGCGCTGCTGTGGAACAAACTACGGAATCCAAAGAGGCACCCGAGGAATCCGTCGAAGATCTATCATCTGATCAACCTGCGGCCCCAACAGTAGAAGAAGTCCCCGGGGATAAAGAAAATCTACAGGAAGTCACTGAGGAGTCCCCTGCTCTCTCAGATCCCATACAAGAGCAAAGCGAGTCTCAGAAGGAGGACAAGCCGAAGGAAGTCGAAGACTTTGAGGCTGTTGCCCTTGCTGGACTTGCAGGTGCAGCCGCAGGTGCAGCGGCGGCCAAGGTCTTGGACGATAAGGAAAATGACAGTCCAATAGCTGACCAGCCTCTGGTAAATGAGGCGGAACGTATTGAGAATCGCGAGGATAAAGGAGCTGAGTCTCCCTCGAAATCGGACAAATCGGACAGAGACAGACGCAGACACAGGAGCTCGAGGCATCACTCATTCAGTAACCACAACTCAACTAAGTATGGTGAATACCCACCTTCCAGCAGACCAGAAGAACAGCCAAGACGCCGAAGACATTCTCATAGCCACAGAACCAGTGGCGCAACCAGTGATAGAGAAGAGGATAAAGAGAATTATCGTAGCCACAGATCTAGTCAGAAGGAAGATGATAAAGAGAGACCAGAACGTTCTCATCGCCGACGATCTAGCCATAGAGAAGATGAGCCTGAGCGTTCTTATCGACGTAGGTCTAGCCGTAAAGAAGAAAAGGAAGATAAAGAGGAGCCAACCCGTGGTATTTCTCCAGCAAAGCAATCTCCAGATCGTCGAGATAGTGCTATTGAGGGTGTGGACGATGAACGTGAACGTCGCCGACGCCATCGTAGAGACCGCAATCGAGAGGAGCAAGAAGAACACGACAAGAAAAAGGAGGAACGCCGAGCAGCTAAAAGAGAAGCAGCAATCAAGGCCGAAGAAGCCTTCAGAGCAGAAGAAGCACGAAAAGCTGAGGAAGAGGCACGAAAGGCTGAGGAGGCACTGCAAAAGATAAAATCTGAATCCATTCCGTTACCCGCCGCCCCAAAACGATCAAGATCACGAAGAGAAAGCATTTCAAAGTCATACTCAGTCACTCCGCATGAAAGTGACGGTATTCGATCCCGACTTCTTAGTTTCAAGAAGCGCGTTCAAAGCGAAGTTACCAGTCCATTTATAGCAAACGACGAGCCACATATCAAGGAGAAGCTTACCCCCGTCACACGTTCCAGAAGAGACTCCATCGTTGATGAGCCGGGCCCTCAGTTCGATGTTACACCAGAACGTACGAAAATGAGTTCCAATACGAGAAAGTCATCTCGATCATATCCACATCATTCTCACTCGTCGTCTCGCAGAGAGTCTGAACGAACTCATAGTTCGAGAAAAGAGCCAAGTCGAGGGGATTCTACCAGGGAGAAGTATAAGACGGAGGAGGAGAAGGAGGCAAGAAGGGCTCGCAGGGAGATGAAAAGACAAGAAAAGCTTGCCAAGGAAGAGGCGGAAGCAGAAAATATACTCCAAAGAGAGAAGGACGATGAGTTGAGGCGTAAGCATCGTGAGGAGAGACGAAGAAGACGAGAAGAACGCGAGGCCAAGGAGCGAGAAGTTGGAAATCGAGAACTGGAGGAGAAGAGTGACAAATCATTGGAACCATTCCCCGAAAACGATGTCGACACCGGAGAATCGAAACCTAGCTCGAGGCCAGTCACTCGGGAAAGACGACCGACAAGACACCATTCGAATTCTTATAGTTCACGAGGCTCTCGTCCAGAAATACCCACATCCCGAGGCTCTCGTACATTGGAAAAGCCAGCGGAAAAACCAAAGAATGCTTTCAAGAGCTTTATGACATTGGGGAAAAAGGTCTTTGCTTCGGAAAAGCATTGATCATGATATGTATAACGGCCATGATGATATACGGAGTTCTTTTGTTCGATTATTTTGATTTCGATTCTTGATTGGTATTATGTTTATGATTGTGGAATATGCATTTGATAAGTTCTGGCTGGTGATCTGATTATTGCGACGATGTTATAATATGGTGGTCGATCTGTGTTTTCAAGTACATAATTGTGTTGAGCAAGATCTAATGGGGTTCTTGATGTCTGTCAGCCCTTTGTATTTCAAGTCTCCTTGGTCATATTTCGTTTGTTCAACTGTAGTTATTGAATGTACTTAACAATCTTTGGGATAATGGATATTAGAATGAATAGTCGTTTCTTTTCATATGCAGTTGAGCAGTTTATCGTTATGTTAGCTTCAGTTTCTTGGTTATACTTCATCTTCCTATCAAGATTCAAATTGTGGCTCTTTAATTCACTTGTTTGTGCATTCAACTTGGATTCAAATACGAAGGAGATATTCGCTGCTGGTGTGGTACTTGGTGTTATTTGGAAGCCATTTCGAAGCAACACTACCTGCATCAGGGGGGCCTTGAAAACAAACTCCGCGAACTCCAGATTGATGAGAATGGACTAATGTGTGGCGAGGAGAGCAGAAGGTAACCCCAATTTCATACCTAGTCTTTGGCCCTTTGATTATTTGCAGCCAAACCTTCCTGTTTCTTATCTGAACGTATTGGGAAAGTATCGGACGAATTGCCAATTATGTTAGAAACTTTAAGTATGCTTTCATCTGATATCACTTCATGATTGTTCTAGACCGTGCTGCTCAGGGAAAGAAAGAAAGTGGCCAATTTCGCGGAGTCTTGAATCAACACCGTCAAATCCACAAACCCACAACTCCACATATCCACCTGCACGTCCATTCTTCGTACTACGTTGACAGATTGAGATCGTTCCTTTGACATCTAGGGCATAACCAATATAAGACGTTCTGTCTATTCCTTCATGATTTGTTAAGTTTCAATTATGCATGCATCTATCTGCTTGCTTCGTGCTGTTGCCGACGGCTATTGAAGAGCGACGAAAACCGACCCGTCCCAGTTCTTATCATCGGCGATGTTAATAGAAAAGTCATGCCTTTAATACCGCAACCTTGAGGATTCATTGGGCTCTTGGTTTAATGAATTTGAACCGTCTTGTTGGTACACTGTTGGTTATATCTCGTTCTCGTGTTCGAGTAGCATGTATATATTGTGGCGGATTTATCATTTACGCCGCATTTCCCAGCCGCCTTGCTTTCTTAATTTTTCCCTCATGAAATTCGATTTGTCGTTATACGTCCGGCGTCTGTTACCACTTGCATGGCCATACCCACATTCGTACGGACATGACATGTACAATTTTCTTCAGTTAGAGTTCATGCTTACGAGTTCGTTCGGTACCAAATTGTGTACGCAGTAGTGCCAGTCCAGTGCCACTGTGACAAGCGCTTGATGTTGACCTGGAGATGATTTTCCGGTCTTGACCAGGGCGAACAGGCAAAAGGGGCGGAGAAGACAGGGCAAGACATATCAGCGCTTTGAGATTTCTCCCTGATCGTTCCACAAGGATAAGTTTTGATCGTCGCCTCAATCAGGAAGTTAAATTGCGCTCAAATGGTCTATCCGGAATCCTCGTTTCATCCGAATTTTTACAATCAAGTAAATACGTACCGTACCACATTTGTTCCCCTGGATTCCGCTTTTCAATAATAAGTTGGAGATGACAGCTGATATTGCTTGATCCGTTTGTAGAAGGCAGAAAACACGAGCACATTTTTGATATGTGTCCCAACATCTGTCAAGCCACCAACATGCCTTATGCCCTACACTGAAATCCAATCCAACTCTATTGCATCCGGACTTCAACCTTTCAACCCCTTTTCGGTTTTCACCCAATACGATCAGATATTCGTCATTATCGTGATGATCTACAGTTTTCACTGACCATGCCGCACGTACCACAATCATTACAGCGTCTTCACCACAAGGCCACCCACAAACCCGGGGTATATAAAAGGATTGAGAACCTTCTATCAAAGCTAAAAAGTACGGTCCATCATAGAGATAGAGTCAATTTGTGACCACACAACTGACTATTGGAAAGAAGTTCGGACGCTTCCTGCCCAGGAAGATGCTCATATCTTAGAACCATGTGATGGATTCTTCAATCTACCAGCGGAGCTTCGGCATGAGATTTACTCGTATCTCTTCAGGAATTTGAGATGTCGAGATGATATTTTCTCTGAAGCAGAATGTCACGACTTTTTCGTCCACGAAGGAGCAGTTTTATTCCGTGTGAACCATTGGTTCCTGAATGATGCGGCTGAATTCTTGTGTCGGATGAACCCTCGATTTATGTTATATCGACCTTCCCTATGCCGTTTTGTTTTTTCCATCACATATGATTGTGTTCGATTTCTGAAGAGTCTGGAATTATCAGTTCCATCTTCCGAGACCAAATTACTGGAGCCAATCCTCGAAGAGATCATAGCCTCTAATGCTCCGTTGACCTCACTGACTCTACATCTTACTCCTACGTTTCCGGGGAGCTTAAGCTATCCATGGCCAATGTATATCATTCCTAGATTACAAGTGGAAACACCAGCTAAGGAACATTTCTACAACATTCATCCTCATTATTTATCTATCGAATATCATTCGCAAGCTGCTGTGGATAATTGCCATCGATCCCCATTGTTGATAGGCAAATTACAAAATCTTCGATATTTAAAGATTACAGGGCAGCCAGAATTCGATGTCATGTTTGAGCTTGCCATAGTGAAGCTCCATCTGGGAATGATGGCCGCTGCGAAATCTGCGGGAACATATCTTGCCCTATCACCGAATAATGGGCCTCGTGGTGAAGAATGGTATTATGAAATTTGGATCATTCCAAGTAAGTCATTCCTACCATTGGTCGACTTTTACAATGATCGTTGCAATGCTTTCACATGGGGATTGAAATTTTTGATGCTGACATTGTGTATAGCTTCGCGTCACTCAAAGCCAGCAAGTCTTGCGTCGCATAAGCTCTTAGAGTGCTGATGTAGACATCTCAACTTGTACCGAAGACCTTTACAGACTTCATTTCTGCTATAAGCATGTCCAAGCAAAATGTCTCTTACCAGTAGCCCATTTTCTCTGCCTTTCCCAGCAGAGATAAAATGCTCTACATGTAAAACCCACTTTTGCTCTGTGTCTATCACGTAAGACTAAAGAAATAGACGAAGACATCGCTTCGCAACTACTCGAGTATATCAACATTGAACTAGTGGGCTTGGAGAGTTCTAATTGCTGACCACTTCCGCCTTGGTTCATTCATCATGCAATTTTCACCGATAAAAAACAGATCACAAATCATCAACTGATGAGATCAGTCTGCTGATTTACGTTGAACAAAATGAAGAAAGCTTTATGTCATCGGGCGCAACAGCAAAGTGCCTCTCGGAAGAACCATCGCATACGCATATATTCTGCGGTGCCACGTAAGAGTGAGCCTCATTTATACTTCGACAAATGACAATTGGAAGTACCACAACCAAAAAAAGCCACATTTCGATAGGAAACAGTGACAACCTGGGAATTTGACGACGAATGGGATTCCTCTGAATCCTGGACAGACTCGAGCATCAGTATACCGATTTTCCATCCTAAAAACAGGTTGCCACCCGAGAACCGTCAAGTTGACCCGAATCATGCCGGATTCAAAGTTGACCGATTCCGTCTTGAGAGATATCATTGCCACTCTACAGCACCGAATCTACTATGCAGTTCTAGTCGCAAATAAGCGACAACTTCATATATATTATACGTTATTGACAGGGCAGATGATCGGCGCAATATCACAGCGTCATTATTACCCTAACATCAAAGGATACCCGAAAAGTTCTCGTTCTATCTTAACTTCTCAGAAATCTTCGTTTCTTCAATCTAAGAAGTTATTCTTCATATCTATGAGAAAGCTTCGCACATATTCATCCGAACTTGGTATATCTATCGCCTTCGACTCAGCGAGACCATACCAAATGATAACTGTCGAAAATCAGGGGTGGATAATGACGAACTTGTTTCAATTCACGATATTATCTTTACAATAGATGAAATGATCTGCTAAGACCAAGAAGGCAAAGTATGAACTTTTCAATATCCATGGTCATACTTATTCAATTAGAATCTGCTCGGAATCTATCCACGATCAACTATCCTCGAATCGAGACTCGATGCCCAAAGCCAGATACCAGCAACACTATCTTAAGACCATTCCACCATTCGCACATACAACCTGTCCAGTACACCATTGACTATCACTCGTACACAACATACCCACAATCCCCGCAATCTCAGAAGTGTAAGCCGGTCTTCCTCCCGCATTTGGCGCATCATCTACCAAATCCTGATCATCCACATCCGGCCTGATCTTACTTCCAGGAGTACTTTCAATCCAAGGTTTCAGCTCCTTCTTGAAACCCGCAGTGGTACCTGCCCACATATCTGTCTTCACTGGACCTGGATTAATGGAGTTTACCGTTGCGCGATCATGCAATTCGCGTGCCCAGGTTCGTGTCATGGCATCTACAGCTGCTTTGGTACCGCCATATACCGTTTGGCCCCAGAAACCCTCGGAACTAGAGACGGAACCGAGATTGATGATGCGGCCGGATCTATCGTGGGGAAGATAGTCTAGTGCGGCTTGTAAGAGAAGAAGGGGACCAAGCACGTTGATCTTGTATTGCCAGTTGAAGTCATCAATTGTGATGTCTGGGATGGGTGTGTTTTTAGATACACCTGCATTGTTTACCAGGATATCGATTTGGAACTTTCCGGAGGGGTCTGAGAAATGGGATTTAGTATTGCCGATGATGGTTTCTGCGCCGGATTTCTCAGATACATCGGCTTGGACGATGAAAGTTTTGATGCTGTGTTTTTCTTCGAGCTTCTTGGAGAGCTCGCTGGTGAGAGTAGCGGAGGAATTGGATGTATAATTTAGGACAAGGTTGACGCCTTTTGATGCGAGGTTTTCGGCAATTGCTGCTCCGATCCCTGGGGTTTTGTTAGTTGGTGTTGGTTTTATAGGATGTATAACTTTATGGGTAGGAGTGGAAAGAAGGCTTGGGGAACATAGAGAAAGATTTGTAGAATAGAAATGACAACAAGCAATTGACTCACCTCTAGAAGCACCAGTAATGATGGCAAGTTTGCCTTCTAAGGGTCTATTTGAAGCCATTGCGTAGTTTTTGATGTGATATGAATTTCTCGAGCAGTTTTGTTTTATATCACAGATATAGAAGTGATGATTGCACTTTTGTCTTTTGATTACTGGATCGCTTGATCAATCAACGAGGAAATGAAACGAATAAACAACAGCAAAAAGGAAACGTCCACTCAGCCTTTATATATGCGTAACAAATAGTCCCAACTTCACTCCATTGACTACCTAACCTATTCACCTTCCTCATACCCCCACCATACATCACTTGAGCATTCTATGGTGGGGTTATACATAATTGTCGGCATAGAAATCCCCGGGGTCCATTTATCATTTCCTTAGTTCTTATCGGTTAAGCGCACCAGTTACGTGTGGTTTGAGAGGAAGCTTTGCATTACACCATACACCAATTGTTGACCTGTCAAACCGAGCTCTAAACAACCAACCAGCTATCCCACTCAAATCACTCACAGTCCTCCGTTGAAAAGAGCAAAATTGGAAGAAAGGTCGTCGCATTGATAAATATGGATATTAGACTATTACGATCCTCGGATATTCCGCATGTTCAACATGCCAATATCACCAATCTTCCCGAAAAGTTCGTCATTCCCCTCCCTCTCTTCCCTCTACCCCTCCAAACTAACCCCCCTCTAGCTACTTCATGAAATACTACCTCTACCATGCCCTCTCCTGGCCACAACTCTCCTTCGTCGCAGTCGACGTTTCGCGTCCCCAGAAAACCCCCTACGATTACCCCCGCATCGTCGGCTACGTCCTTGCGAAAATGGAAGAAGATCCTGCGGATGGCGTGCAACACGGTCACATTACTAGTCTGAGTGTTATGCGCACCCATCGTCGTCTTGGTATTGCGGAGAAACTAATGAGACAGAGTCGTATGTTCTCTCTTTTCCTTGCCCTACTCATTCTCATCCCTTCTCATCTCCATTCCTTACCCACGGGGAATTGGTCTTCACATCAAGACTATGAATTTCCACAAGAACAAAAACATAAAAGCTAACCATACCAATCCAATAGAAAAAGCAATGGTCGAAACCTTCTCCGCCCAATACGTATCCCTCCACGTCCGTGTCTCCAATCAAGCTGCACTCCGTCTCTATCGCGACACACTCGGATTCCAGACCGAGAAAATTGAAGCAAAGTACTACGCCGACGGCGAAGATGCCTACTCGATGAACTTGGATCTATCGTATATACGCGAGCAGATACTAGATGAGGAGGATGGGGATGAGGGAGAGCCTGTCGGGAGCGCAGGAAGCGCAAAGGACGCGAAGGCGATTGAGGAGGGGAAGGATGGCGAGGCGGGCGAAAAAAAGAGGAAGGTTAAGGTTGGGAGGGGATTGGGGGTGGGAGAGTTGGTGGAAAAAAATGAGGCGTTGCCTATTAGGGAGGGGAAGTGAGATAGATGGGTGGAAATATTTTGCGATTCCTTGTCTCAAGGAGGCGGAATGAATGAGGGTTATTAAATGGATCTGTATGGGATGCTAGGAGGACTGCATATATTCTTGGAGTCTAAAAGTCATTTTCATCATGCTGGTCTGTGGTGGCTTTATAGATGGTATGATGTCATATCTAGGAAAGATGCTGCTCTTGTGGAAACATGAATGCAGTTTGCATACCTAGTGTATCATGGACGCCCGAGGGGGAGGGAGTAATCTTCTCTCAAGTAAGATTACTTTTACAGTCTATATATAGATCATATGGATTGAGAATCAAAAACACTCGATATTTGGCATCTTCTTGTTTCTTTGAATTGTAAATCAAATTGGCTTGTGAAAGATCAAAAATATAGAATAGCTTGATCCTTGAGTCCTAGTATGCCCTTGCTAAAATTCTGATGTAGCTATATCGAAGAATGATATCACGAGAATGCTTTACGCATCTATATTCTATATTCCATACATAAGTTTCCCACTCAATCCATCGCAAAACGCAAAGCGCCAAAATCCATTTTCCTATAAAATCACAGTACTACTACACTATCATCACACCACATCATGACGAGAAACAGAGATTTCCGTTGGTTTGAAAAATAAGTATTTGTTTAAGAGAATAAGAAACTAGAACTACAAAGGTACTCCATCACCAGTGCCAAGTTCTCCTGAAATAGGTGGTGCTGGGTCAGCGGGTAGTATGGGGTCGGGCTTGGCGACCTCGAGAGATTCATTTGGTGGGGTAGCTGCGTTGATGGGAGGGTTTGCTTCGATTGGGGGATTGGTTGGTGGGTTATTTGATGGGGGTGGGATTGGGTCGGTGGGTGGGTTCACAGCTATATCTGTGGGTGGAGCTGCTTCGACTGGAGGATTTACCTCGTCATTTTGAGAAGGTATTTCTTCGGCGGGAGGAGGATTCGTTTCCACTGTTGCTGGGTTTGCGGGATCTATGGGTGGTGCTGGGTTGGTAGGGGGGTTTGGCTCAGCAGGAGGAAGTGGTTCGGCGGGAGGGTTTGGATTTGCGGGAGGTAATGGATCCGTGGGAGGGTTTGGCTCGGCGGGAGTAGCTGGCTCCGGAGCTGGAGGCTGTGGTGGGGGAGGAATGGCGTCCTCAGGGTTTTGGAGGCCGATATCATTTACTGGCTTTGGAGTATCAGATGGTAGTGGAGGCGCTGAACACACTTTCGGATCTTTCGCAAACTCTGGACCTTTGTAGATTGGGTTTGGGTCTTCTCCCATTACACTCTGTGATTTAATCAAGACTGGAATCACAGCTCCTGTCTTCAAGGAGAATGTTCTATGGCCGATAACTCGTAAGATAGTGTTGATAGCTCCGGAATGGGAACTGAGTGAAATGAATGTACTATTATCATTCGTGAATAAATCATCCAGGAGAGCTTTGAATCTTCTATTCTCTGTCTCGTGAGTTTCTGAGTAATTGGCGCGCCAATAGGGATCTTCTTCTGGGAAATTGGATTCAAATTTCCAAGTAGGGGCGAGAGCATGAATATAAGTTTTCGATCGGCGTCGATCGCAAGTATGAGAGGAGATACCTTCACGGAGAAGTTCTTTGATAATGGGGGTGAATGGAGGGGAGGCGGGCGGAAGTGGTAGATTGCTGAATGTAAGGGAACATGTTTCAAGACAACGTGTCAGGGGTGAGACGTAATAGGATTGTGGTGGAGATGCCTTTTGTGTAGTGATTAGTTTCTCCCAGAAGTCGTTGGCCACCAGAGCTTGGGCAACACCAGTGGGAGCAAGATGAGCATCGGCCCAGGTAGAATTTTCATCTCCATCCAAGTGAGAATAGTAACACTATGGAGGTCAGTAAGAATCGCATATTGAGGGTCAGATAGAACATACATCCCATGCTTCTTTTCCAACCTCAGTCTCTTTTATATTATGATAACCTTCTCCATGACGCCCCACTTCAAACTGTCAGTTGTATATCATGTGATGGCAGTAGTGATCTCGAATACATACAGTAAAGAACTTTATACTGAACATTCTTGGGAGTTTGATTGTTGAGTTTCACAACATGATTCTCAAATCTTTCCCATTGAGTCTTCTGCCTCTCCAGGTCAAATTCTGCATCCGTGTCATACACACGATCTTTTAACCCAAAGTTCGACTCCTGAGTAGATTGTTATGTTAGTCTAATATCCGACAACGTGATTGTAAATTCTCTTACAGTGTAATTGAAGGTCTCCGAATTCGTATTCTGATCATCTTGTAGAAAATATCCTACTACATTTCTGAACTCCATATGTCTAGTTTTTGGTTGTACTTTGTTATTCATCATGTATAATGGAGTCAGAAAAAGTGTAGCTAAAAATAAGCAAGGTCTAGAGTTTTGATTGTTAGCTGAGTTTAACAATTCTCCGTAAAATAAGATGCAAATTAACACAAGCAAAATATGGTAGTACAAAAGAAGTACTTGGGTAGACAATCGAACATAAATAAAGAAACCCAAATCCAACTTACACAATCAAAGATGCTCTCCAACAACCTGTTCGTCGATAAGCATATTGGTATGCATTAGCAATACTGCTTGCGCCCGACCTTTCATTCGACCGATGACCCAATAAAGACTCCTGGTCCTCCATATCTTACACCTTCACTAACGCCGGCTTCAAAATTCACAACCATCCAAAATCCCAATCCTAAAGTAAAAACGAACACCAAAATAACATGATATGGAATCTTCAGACCAAAGATAGAATCGGCGACAATAAGAAAAAAGGGGCTTTTAATGCTTTGAGTGAAAATTGAGTTTTGATGGGAAAAAAGTACGCAACCAAAGTCTAATGAGTATCACGTGTCCAAGGAATGAATGGTGTTAAGTACAGAGGACTGGTTTCATATTGAATACAATTTAATTGGTCTAAGCTTGGTGTTTTAGAGTCGTCAGGAGGAGTTGGGATGAATGTTTTGGAACGGGGAAGGATCACTTCTAGGCGCGTTGGTATTTTGTACGTAACCACCACGGCAGGAGATTGTTGTTGGTGCCTAAGGCTATCAGGCTATCAGGCTATCAAAGCTATATTGACGCCGTTTTATGATCATCGAGCGGAAACTAATAAAGCGGCGGTAACTAGCCACAAAGTCAATCCCCAAACTCCCGAGGTCGAGGTCGTCCACGTGATTTCAATTCCAATCGTGATCCAGAACGCCACAATGTTAAAGTTGGAGAATCAGGTCCGTGTATGATGTCACTCTAGGATAAATCTGGTTGTGAATGCAAAAGTTGTGGGGAAATTAGCTCAGAGCTCTTTTTTGGAAAAGCAAGCTCGCAAGCACAAGCAAGCAAGCAAGCAAGCAATTTGAAGCAAAGCTTGCAAGTGGAGAGAGAGGGACGGGAATAGGAACAGGAACAGGTATGAAGGATACGTAGTCTAGTGGTAGTGTCTGGCCCGGGACGACGAGTTTGTGGTTTCACGAGAGATTATTGGTGGCGTCTAAGATGTGAGTTATTTGTTTTGGGAAGGCAAGTACGCTCGATCAATCGAAAAGCATTTGGGTTACGAGATATATACTTGTATTGGATATATACTTCTACTACCTAGGTAAGGTATAGATACTTCGATTGGATATATGCTTCTACTTGATCGATACTTCCATTGGATACATGCTTCTCTTGGATGCATACGAGTACTTTCGACTACTTTGTACTTTCCTGTCTAACAAATAAACCAGAGGTACACACATACTATGGTAGGTATCGGTATACTCATTGAAAGTAACAAGTATACTGTCTCGACGGTGTACTTGGTACTCTACATGAGCTACTGGCATGTGTACTCTCTCGAGTCTTCACATCACATCCACAATCAATCTAGATTCTACATAGATGGTTTGCAATTTATTCAAAAGGCTCCACCTCAAAATCCCATGCCTTTGTTAAGCCAGAAAAAGTGATTTCCCGATCATTCTCATATCTTCCACCTGTTTGCTACTCCACAATCATGCCAACCTCTCACAAACCCGGTCTTCACCTGCCTTGGAACTCTTTCCATGACGTGCCTTCCCAACTTTATCCGTAATGGCTTTAGCTTCCATTCACCCCGCTACATAAGTCTATTCTTTGTCCCTCCCATCTCTCACATTTCTCCTCTACTCATCAATACAAACAAACAAACAAACAAAACAACCTCATCAATCATCAATCATCAAGAACCTTTAATTAATCTTTTCAATCAATCACATCATGTCTCTTCACTGTACGTATTCATGCTCGGGAAGTCTTAATGGGAGATGGCTGGGAATGGAACTGGTGATGCTGGAGCATTGTGAGAGAGCTTTGGAATTGACATATTGAGCTTGGGATTGGTCCCGTTTACACTTCCCAAGTTGAAATGTCAATGGAATGTCCTCAAAATGCATCCTCACAAAGCATTATCTTGCCATCACCACCTTCTTTCATCTAGCTCCCGTTTTTCTTTCAATTCCCCTCTGCCCCATCCATTAGCTGCCACTAACACATGCTTCCAATAGACCTCCCACCAGTTAAGCCATCGGCTATTGCCCTCGGTACCATCTTCAACCACGCTGCATCCCTTGCTGTCCTCGGCCCAGTCTTCGGCGAAACCTACCACAGAGCTCAAGCTGCCAACTCCAAGGAGGAGTTTGTTAAGTCAAAGGAGGCTGCTTCCGCCGCTGCTGCATGGGGAACTTCCCTTGTCGGTAGCGCCGTCCAATCATATGGTGTTGGTGCTTTGATCAATGCTACCGGTACTCTCTCATACAAGGGTGCTGCATACTTGGGATCTTTGATCTTCATGGCTTCATCTGCTCCATCTGTACGTTATCCATTTAGAAACATTTATATCAAGAATAACCTGCTAACAATCTCATCAGTTCATTGCACAAGTCACCACTGAGAAGCGACCACTCGACACTGTTGCCGTTGGAGCTCTCGCCCGCGTCTTCGAGACTGTCGGTCTCTCTCTCTTCCTCACCTGGTGGGGAACCCACACCAACCCATTCGAGTAAATGTATTAGGCTTTAATATTGGGTATGATCGTTGGGAAGGATTAACGGAATGGGGTTATGGTATGGGAAGGAAATGACGTTCGGATTGGAGTATTCCGTTTCGTCTGTGTATTATCTCGACTCTGAATCAATTCACTTTTATGACTTTATGATTTCTTCGTCATTAATTGCACAGCTTTATTAGGCAGAATATGAATTTCTTTCAAACAAGGGCTTTTTTTCTTTTCGGGTGAACTATGCATGGTCTTTATATGCGTGTTATTTCCTTTTTGGAATCTGAAGTGTTTTCTGTGTTTCATTTCGAGATTCGGAATCTTCGACTTGGTATATTGAATTGAATATACTAATAAAATTGTCAAGGTAGATAGTATCAACAAGTCATCCCAGTGATGAACCTTACCACAACCTCCCCACTGTCACCGCGCAGCTCGCTCATAGGCTCACCACCTTGAGACTTTTCCAAATATATTCCCAAATTTTCTCTCCTATGTCACATACGACCATAGACTGAAGAGAATTGGGCCATCTCTATGTTCTATTGCTACTGTCGCTGTCCCGAATCCAAATTTCCAATTTTAGTAAAACGTCTTTTTGGTTTTTTTTTGCTTCTAAAGTTCTTCGTTTTGAAGTACGAAATTTGGTACGTTTTCGTACTGTTTTTAGTTTTCCTCGGAAAGTCTAACTGTACTCGGTGTCGTTTTGAATGAATGCCGACCTCAAATTTAGACGAATTCTTCACTCAAATCCGTGATTATTCGGCATTTTCAAAATTCAATACCAAAATAACCAATATAGATATCTTATTGAATCTTTTTTTAATAAAAATAGAATCTATTAATATATTATATATCAAAATTTCAGATACTCAACTATAATGTTAAAGAAATAATAATAAAAGAAAAATCACTTTCAAAAAGTGTTATTTTAGACCTTAATTTTAAGGAGTTAAAGTCTGAAAATTAGTGAGTTCTGATTTCTATACTTCTATTTTTTTTTAATTTCTTGAATAATTAAAGATTGAAATAAAATAATTTAATTTTTGAAAAGATATATATAGAATTTGATTAAATATTTAATAGAATCTAAAATCTTGTGTTTTCAATCTTTATAATTTGAATTGATATAGAATTTTGAAATAGATGACTTTTAATGGTTTTTGGTGTGATATACACTAGCTAAATTGAGGTCGGCATTCATTCAAAACGACACCGAGTATACCTAGAAGTATACCTAGAATATGGAAAATGCTAGGGCTCAAGGGTACAAACCCGTTCTAGAGTATTGGTGATGATGTACTCTATTTACTAGAAACCGTTACTACCTCTAGATGATATTTCTATAGAGTATCTTTGTCTATACTGAGTTACTTTGTATATTGCAGCCTTAATCTTAAGTATCTCATTAATCGGAGATACTGCCCAGGATAGCTTGTATATAAGTATCAATCTGAGTTGATAGATCCAGAAGATATTTCAACCTCCAAGACCAAAGCAGCCTTTGTAATCGATCAGATTACTATCACAACTAAGAATACTGTATAGGTAAGGGTATTTCGTATATTGAGAATACTAAGCTAAGGAGAAAAGAGAAGGTAAAAAGGAGAAAAGTGTACGTGGGGTAAGTGCAGAACCCTATAGTCCGTGCACTAAACCAGGCTAGTCCTGATACGGTTAGGTACAGTAGGAGATCAGGTGACGATGGTTGTGATAATATGCGAATCGGTATCTAGCAAGTGTATTGTTGGAACTACCAAGACCTCATATTGGAATTTCCATTTTCCGTGTTCGGGAATAATTTCATTGGATTATGATTGAGAGGGTACTGAAAATTGCATGGAGTTTAATAGCGAGGTTGGATTGAGAAGATTACCCTTGCACCTATTATCGAAATAGAAACTGATGAAATCTTCAATTTTCATTGGTTATATTTTCTAATTATGTAAGAATCGGCATATACTGTATTTGAGTTAAGCACGAAGCGAAGCTCCTCTATATGTTCTGCTTATATAGACCTTTATTCTCTTCTGATCAATCTGCTCAGTTCACATGACTTCCTGCCTGAGGGTTCTACTATGGTCGGCTATTGTTTGTGAGTTGGCCTGAGGCTTAAAAGCTAGGCTACAGGCCTAGCTCTCTCGGTCCGAACTTCCGTAACCCAAAACAGTTCTGACCCACCTGCAGCACTTAAAATCCCCAGCCACACTGACCAATTGTGTCGTACCAACAGTTGGTACCTGACTATCGTAACACTATTCTACGAAGTAAAAACCGTTGCTAGGAAGTCACTGCTTACAACCCTTGTCGAACATTAACTGTTCTGAGAAAACAATCATGCATTTCAATCTTCACTTTGCAAAGCTAATATACAGTATCGAGTTCTGAGAATTCAGAGACGAGCAATACTGGCGGACAATTATTCGAAAGATGCGACAAACGGATTACTATGATGTTCCTTCGATATATCTATGAGAATTATAAGGCTATATTCTGCGCTACATATCAATATCTGCTTCAGTTCAAGCGGTGCCTATCAACCCGAGAGTAAAACAGCACGCACTATTTGTGGAAGACTGCTTATACCACTTTCATATCGCTTCCGCCGACTACAAGCGAATGCGACGAGAGGGGTGTGCGATTCGGGTCACATCGTCACAAAATCAATACTCGTGCTGCCAGAAAGGATGCAACTCCGGTGCTATGTGCATCTAGCGTCGGAGTTGCATCCTTTCTGGCAGCACGAGTACTATGATCTTGTATACGGAGATCTCAAGCGAGATTACTTCTTATCATATAATCTCTACGCGCGCATACTCTTTTTCCTTTTCAGTCTTCTTCAAAGTACACACATTGCATCGCAACAGTCTTTCCGCCGTATCAATTTCGTTCAATATCTGCATTTTCATTCTCTACGCCTGTGATATTATACATCTTCATTCCTCAACATCTGTCATTCCTCAACATCTGTCATTCGTTTCAAGTTCACAATGGTCGCAACTGCTCGTACCGCGCTACTTAGTTCCCTCGTTAGCATTGTCGCTGCGCAATCGGTCAATCTCTTCATCCCAGAATATGGACAAGAAGATGTTGTCGCTCAGATTGTCGGTGAGGTATGGATGGAGAATTTCTCCTAGCAGCATGTTTATCATATCCAAGCGGTTGTGCTGACGATCCCCATATAGAATGCCGAAGCAACGACATACCTCATTGCATGCGCTCCTGCGGTCTACACAACCGTAGCCTGTGTGTACCGTAACGGACCTGGTCGTGATGAAGGACCTCCTAACTGCGACGGTCCTGCATCTTATAATGTTGTTGATTTGAACAGATGCTTTCTTACTGCAGGAGCAACTGTGGTTGAGGGACCATCCACCGTCGTTTTCATAAAACCTGGCGACGATAGCCAAACATGGAATTGTGCGGCTGATGGCACGGTGTCTGCTGTCTGGTAGGAATCCAAGGACCCTAGGACAACGATAACAGCTAATTGACGTCTATTTAGCACACACAATTATAGAACGAATATATACACCGATACGATGACGGGAACTGACTATACGTTCATTCCAGTTCCTTTGACTACTGGTCTAGTCGCCAATGGTGTCGTACCAACCTCGATTATCCGACCTGCTCAAGCAAGCACGACAAGCATTTTATACAGTACATCTTCTAGCCCGAGCAGCCTCCCGTCATCTTCAACATCAATACACACGATAAGCAGCTTACCGACCATTACGCCAATTGCTACAATACGCACAAGTATAACCACCAGGACCACCTCAAGCATCGAACAGCAGAGCAATAGTAGTAGCGCAAGATCAAGCAGCTTTGGAGCCGGAAGTGTCAGCTCAATCAGTGGAAATAATACCGCGACCTCAACGACAGTCCCAGCCGCTACAGGCGTTTCCAACACAACTAGTCCTACACCTATCGTTTCTCAAATAAGCAACGGCGCGCCGGCTTTTGGTTGGTGGAAAATGGGTTCTGCTGTTGTAGCGGTCTTGGCTGGTATAGCTATGCTTTGATCCGGTCGAGCTTGGTAACGCACAATAACGATATACTTGTCTTTTACGCCTTCGATGATGGTTTTAATGTTAATCAGGTCCTTCTATTGACACAGGGATCCAGATGTAATATTTGGTAACTGTGATCTCTAGTCTATATATAATTCTATGTATATGTTATTTAAACTTTCTTTTAGAAAATTGTAATGATTCAGCTGCAATGGCTGTATCGCACCTATATATCATATCGTACAGTTTCCCTGAGCGCATATTCGAACAGTCAAGATATGGAAAGCGTCATACGGATAAGCTTCGCTATAGCGAACAAGGCAACAGAGCATTTGGGGCGAATTATGGTTGTCAAAGAACAGTCTTCTGAAACTCCTATTACGAGAATTCTATTTCCATATGTTTGGCCTCCAAAATACAAAATACATAAATTAGTATTCAGTAATTGTGTTGTTGGTACTAATAAGGCCTTAGGCTAGAATTTCTATTATCCGTGTTCGGAAATAATTTCATTGGAGTGTAGAGTAATAAGAAATAGCTACATCGGAAATCGAACAAAGTATTTTCGGCTGGTGTTGCGCTGGAATATAGAGAAGTAGATTATAGATATATTTAAAAGAGTTCCTGGCACATACGACCATAGATCAAGGAGAATTGGGCATCCCGTCCGCCCTGCCATATACAAGCTTCAGATCGGTGGATTAGTAGTTGGGTGGGTGACCGCCAGCGAATCCCCACTGATGTATGTTTTTGTAGTTTTTTTTTTGGTGTTTGCCTCTCTTGCTCGTTGGGTTTTTGTGTTGCGAGGGCACTCTGGTTGGTGGGTGTATTAAGGTAGGTAGGTGTTTATTTTTGGAGATTTGGATTGCGGGGGCGGAATGGGGTGCGGAAGAGGAGGGAGTTGATTTATCAGAGTGGAGTGGAGAGGAGGGAAGAGAGGAGGTGGTGATTTTTCTATGGTAATTAGCTACCTAGGTAGGTGATGAGTACTAGGGAAGACTGTTTTTTGCGGGTGACTTTTGGTTGTTTGTTATTCTCGATGCGTGTTGTTTTCTTGTTTTAAAAAAAAGGGAAAAGAAAAGAAAAATTAAGATGCATGAATGTACCAGTATGGTGGTGTGTTTTATGTTGGTGGTATAAGGCAGAGAAGAATATTTCTGGGGAGAAGGGGGGGGGGGAGGAAATAACAGAGAATGCGGTCCTGGAACTATAAATACAAGTATATATACACATAAATGTTATCTTTATGTTTATGCTTACGTTTGGCGGTTGAGATGAAGATTGAGATTCAAAGTCAGGAGGATCTGGGTCTCGGAGAAAAAAATCAATCGAGTAGTAGATTTCCGATGAGGAGTGATAATTCACAAGTCAGTGCTTGCATTCTTGGGAATAACTGGCTACCTACTACTTATTACAGCTATGCTAAACCCATGCTTCATACCGTTTTGTGGTGGGGAAATGAGGGGTTCGCTAGGATTTATTATATGTGCTGTTATGTTATGCTTGGGTTCTGCTACCTAGTTAGTTGGTTGGGAGTTGGGAAGGGTATGTTAGGAAGGGTATGTTGGGTATGTATATGGAGATGCTGGGTTTTGTGAAAGTTTGTTTTCTGTTTAGCTTGGTTGATATGGAGGAGGGTGTGATTTGTATTTATTTGTGTATGGTTTAATTGGATTGAGATGGGTGGGTTGATGAAGGCGAGGTGAGGTGAGGTGGGATGGGCTGATTTGGGTTTTGATGTTTGTTTGTAGGGGAATTCATGAGGTATAAATTTTCCTGCGGTTATATTCTATATAGCTAATGCTCCAGAAATACAATCTTCTATGTAAATGAAGCATATTATATTCTATAAGATAACAAAAGATGGTTATTCACATCTTATATTCTATTCTCTATTCGCTTGTCTCTAGAAACCCGACTTTACTCTCTACCTAATAAGATTATAGCAATAAGTGGAAATTATATAGAAGCTACATGCGCGGCCACTCGTTTGAATATCGACTTGTTCTCACAATATCATTGTGAAAAACGACTCTGATGGCAATTTTAAGACTCGGTAATTGAGAAGTACAGTACTAGTCAACTGCTATCAGCCGAAACTCAATTTCACACCAAAATCGCATTTTTGCTATATTTTTAAATATAAAAATCTCTATAAATAATAATTTGAATTTAATAAAACTTTGTTTTTATAAAGTTTATATAATGATAATTGATATTTTCTATAATTCAAAAGTTTAAGAAATTTCTAATATTAAAATTTATAAGATTGAATTAAAATATTAAAAAAGTTGCTTGATTTTCGCTTATTTACTAGTAAATCTAATCATTTTGAAAATATTCTAATTTTCAATTTATATAATAGAATCAATAAAAATCTAAAAAATAATTGATTTAATTTTTATCAAATTGTTATTAAAAATAAATTAATAAATAATAATAAAAAGTTATATTATATTAATAATAATAAGAAAATTTATGATTATAAATGATGAGTTTTGGTGTGAAAACGTGTTTCGGCTGATAGCAGTTGGCACTTGCTGTATATTATTCCACGATTGTGTAGAATCGTCGTTGAATTGCAACTTTGCAATGTGATGGCGAAACTGTAGGTGTGTAGTGTGAAAGCAAGTCGGTGGAGCTATTAAAATGCCTAGTAATATCGTTATATGTTGATAGAAATCAGTAGGTGTAAAGATTGGATTGTGAAATCTTAAGACGAATACATTATGGTGCTATTTTGGCTAAACAAATCATCATTGATAAACAATACGTCGGCATCGATTTTGGTTTCTAATCACCACAATAGTATTTCCTAGTGTTTCTCGAAGCAATAATCTGTCAGAAGCTGGTGTCGTGGACCTATTCGATGCTACATACGTCCCTGACTATAGCCACTTGTTCCGCAAGGTGAAAATTGATTGACAACATGTTGGTTGACTGGAAGAAGTTTTGCATACCGCCAGTATTGTGTTTACGGGTCTTTCTTTTCCCTCTAATGCGTGTGTAAATCTTGCCGTGACGAAGTATATAAGGGTAGTATACTTTCTGATCACCTACATGTTGCCGAAATACTAAATTCGCTGGAAATATTTGATCCTAGAAACATGGGATTGAATTGTAGAGTTGAGATTTGTCTTCTCAATTATGATAGAAAAATAACTCCTACTTATGCTGTGATTGAGCTGATAGCTCTCAAAAAACATTACAGGTCAATACTCAGACATCAAAGCAAAATTCTAGAAGTATGGTAATCGTCGTTGAATTTTGCACTTGCAAAAGAAGCGATGTGATAAAAAAGGTCAAAAATCGACTTCCATATCTTTTCATGATATCCTTCATCCCTGTGCAATATGTTTCGAATGCTGGAGCCCTACAATCAAACATTTTATCAGAAGAAAATAGATGTATCGTAGATTGTATAGGCATATCAATTTTCTGTCGCCTTCTTACTTTGCGCTTGCTAAGTAGGAGCTGTACTGGGTTGAAAGGTACTACAAGATGCCTACACGACGTATCCTTAAGATCGTGATAAGCAGTACTTTGATGTGTAACCCGATATATATTCTGATATATACATACCAGTTAACGTGGTTTATCATCGAGTGGGCCATATCATCGAGTGGGCCACTCCAAAATACACCAAAATTAATGCTTTTTTAATATTTTATTTTAATAATCAATCATTATTTTTAGAAAAAATAAATATAAAATAATAATGAAAATTTAGCTCTTTATAAATCTAGTTTTGATATAAAAATTTCTTTTATATTTGAAAAAAAATGAAATTTGTCACGATTTTCGTTACAAAAGAAATATTTCTATAATAACTATTATAATAATTTGAATTTTCAATAAATAACTAGATTTTCATATTATTTATATAATTAAAATTTATAGTTTCAATTTTTAGAAATTTTATCAATAAATAAAGAAAGTGCACGGTTACGCACAGACGAATTTTGTATGTAAAAATGATGGCCCACTCGATGATATGGCCCACTCGATGATAAACCACGTTATGGTATATTATCAGTGCAAAAATAGTGAACGTTTATGTTGCAAGTGAAATAGATGTGATAAATGTATAATCCCAAGGTTACCTAAGCTCGGACCATTCATTTTTCCGGCTCAAGATACGTTTAACCTTACATCACCTACCAGACCCTCAAGTAGCTCCCAAGTCCAAAAAGACACCCTCCCCCAAAACACCTAGAAAATGCGTCCCTCAATCTTCGGCGTCTTTTCGCTGCTCTCCCTTCTCCCCTCCTCTCTCGCAACTCAACTCATCTTCACAATCCCAACGACTTCTCAACTAAACCCATCAACTCTCCCCCCCTCCACCCACGCAATCCTCAGTACCCTTTCTCACACGCACACCGCGCCTCTCACTCCATCCAATTCCTTCTCTTTCCGCAACCTTACCAGCGGCTCCTACCTCCTCACCGTTTCCTCTCCCACCCACGCTTTCATTCCTCTCCGCGTCGATATTCATCCTGCATCCTCCGAGTCGAATCTCATTCCCATCGAAGCATTTACCACTTTCCGCGCCAACGAATGGAGCAACAAGGGAGAGATCATCCCGGTTTCTAAACTCGGAGATGATAAATACACAGCGGAAGTTAAGCCACTTGTCGAGAAAAACTATTATCTTGAGCGAGTGGGGTTCTCGCCATTGAGTTTATTGAAGAATCCTATGATCTTGATTGCTGGATTCAGCATGCTTATTGTGTTTGGAATGCCTTATCTTATGGATAATAGTATGTGTATTCTTCTTGAGTTTCTGGGAGTCAGATTTGAGGCTTCACAATCATGCCATGTAATATATTCTTCGTTTTCTATGCTAACAGTACATCTTTTACAGTGGACCCAGAACTCAAAGCAGAATTTGAGGAGCGCCAGAAGAGTGGTGGTGGAATTACAGGCGGTGCCAATGGCGCCAATCCATTGCAAAATTTCGATGCGGCAGCTTGGTTGGCTGGGTCTGGTGGAAAGAAGGAGGGAGGCGCTGCAAGTGGTGGAAGAGAGATTATCAGATGAGAGTGGTGTCTCCATCCGTGGAGTTTTGTTGATATTCTAGCTGATTGATGAGAGATGATCGATTTATTGGATTATGATAATACCCGGGAACCATGGGTCGAGCCACGATGCGAAAATTAGATACAGAAAAGATTGATCTGTTAAGATAACAGAAGAATGGTATAGGGACATCCATATCAATTTGAGGTTCATGCTTCGAGAAGCCACCAGGAGCGAGAAATCGACCAACCACTTGAGATTCCATAGTGCTTTGGCTCAGAAAAATACTTGCAATTGATGATTTATGATGCCAAGCGGCTCTCGTCAGTAGGTCTACTCTTGTATCAATACAGCATTTAGTGAATTCTGGATCAGCAACTCTCATTGAATATCTTACACTGCAGATCTCATCTTAAGTGGACAATGATAGAGCAGACCGGATAGCACTAATATCAAACATCCAAATCCAAAGGGTAGTATGAGTGATTTTGCAGTTTCCTATCCATCTTACTGTTCATTGCCAGCGGGCGTTCAAACAAAGCTCATACTGAGGCTACTTGAGGAGTAAGCATTTCATACCCGGGCATTAGTTGTGAACCTAAGTGAGGACCTCTTCTTCCACTCTCCTATCTCCTACTCGTGACTACGAACCAGGCTCGCTAAAAATCAAAATCGCGGGGGAACTATCTCCCCCTCTTAAAAAATGTAATGTATAGTGTTCAAGATATACAAACCAGAAGACTGGATTATCAAATATCAGAGTTTTCAGGTGTAGAGTCGCGGTTGTGTTTGAGAGGATTTGGAAACTTAGTGTACTACTACTGAGCTGGGTACTATCCATCAGATGGTTGGAGTATACTATTTGGAAGTCATGAGCGGAAGCTGTTCCTGCAAAATCTTGGGATACAATATGAAATTGTTTCGTCATCTCCTATTTACCTGACCATCCCACTGAATTTATCTACCAAAGTGAGATATGAGATCATCCTCTCGGCATTTTGAACACCACCCGGGACTTGGAATTTCAATACCTTAATCAATGATCATACAACAATCTAGAAGCACATTCGGCAATGATGAAATACCCCAAGATTTCCGCTTCCTGGAGGATCTTCATAGGATCTGACCCGATGGTTTGGTAAACTGATTTCTGAGCCGGCGGCTACCAGATTTGTATCCCACAACTTTGCACATGTCATTTCATGGATTAATTTCATACCAACTTCTGTCTGCTTTGGTATCACATGTATCTCTTCGCATTGTAAAACGTACGACTCAATTCCATGTCTTCGACTTACAGTACCTCAAAATTCAGAAACTCATCTTTTAACACTACCATGAGTACCTTGCCGCAGCGGTCGATTTCCCACGACCGCGCTTATTCTATGACCTCAACATGTTTTAGTTCTCTGAAACGAACAAAAGTCCATGGACCTCGACCGCTCAGCCTTCATGGGGCGCTAACACATAGCCGGGTATGGGGTTCCTGGGTTTCGGATGCGTGTCCCTGGGATTGGATAAAGGCACTTGGAGAAGTTGGTTATGGGGTTTGTTAGCGGCGATGAGAAGAGATTGGGTTTAGAGACCGGACACTGCAGATGCTGTAAGACGGGTGGTGGTATCGTGTTTGGCCGACTAACTTGTTCGTGATCCTTTGGATATTGGCTCGTGTATATAGATGAGGGGTATCTCTTGATTCTTCTGGATTCATTTCTTCATCTTCTTCTTCTTGGAAAATAGACGTCTGTTCACTCTCTAACTATCTAGTCACTCTTTTTGAATCTGAAAATTAGTCTTTCTTTTATCTCAGGCTTCCCAAACACTCCTTTCCATTTCATTCTCCTCAAAAACTAACAAAATGTGCTGCTGTTTCGGATCCCGCGGGGAACACGTCGAGCCCGTCAAGAAAATCCCACAGCACGAATTCGACGAGAAGAAAAAAGTGTACGAATCTAACGGTCATCGATCATCACTTCCTCGTCGTCGGCATTCAAATAAATACGTAGATAGGGATAGTTCGAGAGACAGCAGCAATTCTCCACGAAACGGATCTCGAGGATCGCAGAATGGATATGGTAGTAGCAGTGGTGGTAGTGGTAGTAGTAGGGATTTGAGAGGTTATAACAGTAATGTGGATTCTCACAGGTATAGTAATGGCGGATATGGTCAGGAAGGATATATTCAGGGAGGACATAGTCAGGGAGTACGCTCGCCCCCATCATTGGGGACTAGCGTGCTACGGGGCTCTACATCGCGGTATTAATCTGATTACCGGAGATGAATACAACATATTTGAGTAATAGGGGATTCTCCATCATCTTTGCGGGAGGAGAGAGAAGGTCAAGAAGACATGTTCAGAGAAGAAGATGCGATGCTGGACATCGATCCTGTCCGCGATATTTCCATTCATATCTTCGAGATTCTCTTAGGGACAAGTCACCACACCATCCACCCGTTATCTGTAAAGTATGGACAGATCTGCATCACCATCGCCCACAAGCTAAAACTCAGAAAGATATCAAGAACTAGAGAGGGAAACCCGCTTTGAGTGATATCCGCAGCAAAGATTACTCGGAGGATATGTAGATTAATTCCGTTTCTTGCAATTTGTTTTTATGGGAGTCTGGCATAGACGATTGGGAATTTTGATGTATCGGTTAGAAGATAGATAATATCAAGCAGGAAGGGCATGAGGAAATGAATATTATAATCAATATCTTCTCGTTAAATCAACCTTGTGAGCCTTTTTCCTGGTGATGATGTAATTGCACCGAAGTCCTCGGACCAGCTTTTCAGAACTCAGGACGAAAGTTGGCAAGATTCGAGACGCCGATGAAACATTGTTGAACTTTGAAGAAAAGACAGTCGCTGAAAGGAAGGCATTTAAGAAAAATATGAGATCTCACAACTTATTTACCCTGAATCCTCGAACAACAGCTTTTTATATAACATATAATTTTTTGACTAGCCCACCTTTCCGTTACTAGTACTACTTCTAAGTCTACCCGAACCCTTCTTTCTTCCTCCATCTAAACCATACAATCCGCCTGCAAAAAATACCAAAAACGCACCCACCAAGGTCCCAGGACTAAGTCTATTTCCAAACAACCAAATACTCAATAACAAACTAGCTAATTTCCTCACGTTCAACACAATCGTGACCGTAAGTGCAGAAGATGCAGCGGCAAGCAAGTTAACTCCGCGTATGCATGCATATTGTGTGAGCACATTCATAGCAAGAAAGACGAGTTGGCTTGGTAGATAAATTTGTGAGAATTTGGAGACGAGGTCCGAGGGGAGCGTTTGGACATCGAAGAAGGGAAGGCTGAGCGGTGCGGAGGAGGCAAGCCTGAGGAATTGGCGATACATGGAGGGGAAAAAAGGAGCGAAAAGAGGCAGTGCGAGAATATGTGAGTAGAAGAGGTTCTCTTTCCAGTGGGGCCCGTATTCTTTGTAGGTTTCTTCCGTGTAAAGACCCATTATTGCAGAGAGCACTTGGGCAATAAAGAGGATGACGAGTCCTGTGTTGAAAGAGGGTATGTCTGCGTCTACTTTTCCGTCCTGCAAGGGGATTGTTAGTGATATTCGAAGGTATAAGAAGCGCGATAATACCTTAGACTGTGCATCGAACATAGCTGCTGTAACTACTCCAATTGTCAAAAGAATGACGGCGATAATTTGTATCCTAGAGAATCGCTTCCCCCATAGATATCCCGCAGCCAAGGTTGTAATACTACCTCCAGATCGTAAAATGATGTGCATAGGCACTGAAATATTATAGCCGAATGCATGATTGTTCATGACATTGATTGTAAAGAATAAAACAATATTTATAATCCATCGACGTATAGGGACACGATTTGGTGTGAGGAAGAGCGGGGGTCGACTTCGATCGAATTGGGAGATGTAGCTGGTCACAGCTACAAAGATGAATTGAACAAATGTCATAAGAGTTCCTTCAGAAAATTAGAATGGCATTCGATGAGGTGGTGCATGGAGGGGATGTACCGCTATCTTTCTCGACTCTGTTTTGATCAATGTCAGCGGGGTACTCGAAACAATATAACGTCAAAAGCAAGGGAGTCAAAACTTACTTGACAATGGCTTCCAAAGCGAAAACCTAAGTATGCAATGAGCTCCTCATCCTTTCCCATTTTCTAAACATGTAGGAGCACTCACATTTGAGCAACAACCTCCGAAAATCAACCCAAGCATAGCACCCACAGCCAACCATTGCGGAATCGTTTCAATAAACATGCGCCCCGCCATTGCAAGCAATTTCGAGGACGTAGATCTTTTATCATTGATTCCATACATTTCAGCCTTTTCCAATGACGGTGCAGCATTAATAACCTTTGGGGCTACGACATCTCCATCGGCATTCGAAGCTTGTAAATCTCGAAGGGTGGAACGACGCCGTTGGGCCGGCATAGATGCTTGCTGCTGGCTGCTAGCAGAATCAGCTCTGCGTCTTCGAGCCATTCATAAATACGCCTTTCTGACTAACTGAATGCGATCAGGGGGAGGCGTTTCCGTGTTGGAATCTAAGAATGGAGGATTTTTTGAATGTGATGTTCCAGAATTTTGGGTACCGATGTGACTGAAAGCGGTTCGATATGGGATATGATACAAAATTGGACAGTGGCTCAGCAACAATGCAGTTGGTATCAAAAAGAAGAAAACAATTTTAAGAAGATGTTGGAATCTGACACGTAGAATAGAGGCACACTACTGTATTTTTATTTGCTTTTGATAATCCCCCAATTGCAGGTGCGCTCTGCAAGGATAATAAGTAGGTAGGTAGGTACTCTGTCGATTCTAGCTTTCAGGTTTTTTCTCTCTATGTGCTGTCTAGGTAGTTGGATAATTTGTGGAGGTAAGAGCTCAAGACATTTAACGTTATCCATATGCTAAGTAAACAACATTATAATCTCCGTATTATAATCTCTAGACAGATACAGCTGAAGGAAGGAGTAGAGGACAACGTGGAAGTAGCTACCCTGAGTAATTTTAGCTGAGGTAGTAGCAATTTAGCATGGTTGTTCTGGAATCTAGAGCAAAGAGACCCCATAAATAGTATCATGGTCCCTGTACGTCCCCTGAAATTGGCGTCTAATTTTCAGCGATTGCCGAATAACCCCGGTAGTAGCTTAACAAGGTTATTTAAAGCTCTTCAAGGTTAAGTATTGTTGAAGAGTAATTGTAAAGTATCTTCATGTGCATCGGTGGCTAGATATAAGTCCCTCGAGAGTCGAGATTCGGATTCCACTGACATCTAACTAGGTGCAGCGGGAAATGGATGGACGTCCATTCACAGTATATATACCTCTCTAGCTGTATGCTAGGGATAAATGGAAATGGCAATTCTCTTCCTCTTACAGATTAAAAGATCTTTGACGAGAGTAACGTTGCGTCTATGAAGCTATTCCCGATGGTTAGGCCCTAGTGAGCTAACAAACTTTACATTATAATTCTGATACCTCGGGGGTTCTTCCTGATCAGGAGCAACTGCGGCTAGTGCTACAACCTACGAATGTCACCATCTTCCACGAACAGTCCCCAATACTCCCTCAAATCTCGGAGTACTTCTTTCATCTATCAAGAATTCAATGAGCAAATGACTTGGCCCCAATGATTCCGGGAAAGTCTTCCCTTTCAAAGCTTCAGTCCATATATTCAGGTGATATTCAAGGACGCTCAAATATGATTATCAGCACCTCAAAATATCTGCAATATTTTCATACTCAAATCTACTAAAAGAATCCGTACAAACCAACAAACTTTCATACAACGCTTTTCCAAAAAAAGACAAAAAAACAACCTGAAAGAAACCCCCTAAAATCTAACCGAAAATCATCTCAATTGAAACCCCTCTCCAAGGACATACCCATCCAAGTACAAAAATCACATCACAAACCCAGCATAATCACCACCCAAACCCTCCATCAAAGCCGTCCCTTCCCATCAACAATGCTATAATCCTTCCACATCTTAACCCCCACATCACCCACACCATCTCCCTTAATTCTCGAAGCGATGATTTGTTTCCGCGCTAGCCATTCTTCTCTCGATTCAGTGCTCCCTCTGCGCAGTAAATATGTACCATCATCATCCTCTTCGATATCATCATCTGCATTTTTCAAAAGCGAACCGTGCTCTTCGATAGAAGATGTTCGTCGATTGTGGGTATGGAAGTGGGAAAAAGGATTGGAATGGATGTGAAAGTGCTTGTGCGATTTAGTTGAGGAATTGGAGGAGGAAGGTTGGGAAGTAGATGTGGAAGTGGATGCTGGAGAGGAGACGGAGTGATGCGAAGATGAATTGCCCATTGTATGTATTTTCTTCGCGTGAATGACAGCTCTATAAACCGAACAAATAAATTCGAAGCAGATAGATAGTATTCAAAACCCAGACAAAAATATCAACCAAAATACAGAAAACCAAGCATGCGCAACCTCTCCATCCCATCCCCAATATATCACTCCCAAAACCTGTACACCCCCATCAAACCCCAACATCCACACCCCCCACCAGCCATCCCAACAACCACAAACAACATCAAGCTCCTCCCTCGCAAAGCCCTCGTCCGGGTCTTCAGCCCTACAGCCCTCTTTCCACACCCACAATCACGCCAATAACCCATCTCTGATCACCCATCAATTCTAAATTGTAGGGCTACAAGCGACCGTGGTTATATGAAGTTGGTCCGTAGGCGCGCGACTGCCTGGCTGCACGAACGTCCCGAGCGTGGTAGGAAGAGAGACCCGGCCGGTGGGGGGATCGGTCCAACATCTTTTCGATCGATAAGTACGCTTTATATCATAGAGGCGGTGCAGGTATTTTGGGAAGATTGGCAGGCGACGATATCATGTGAGTGTTCATCTGCATAGAATCAAGCGAACTCGGTAGCTGTAGTGAAAGATTTACTTCTTGTGTTCTACGTCGTGTTTTCACACCATATACTTCTCCTCTCTTATTTGTGATTGATTTCCCAGATATAAATCTTTTTACCTTGTATTTCTTCTTTCTTTTTCTCTGGTATTTACTAATAATAATGATAATATTCCTCCTTTCCTCATTCCTAAAACTGAGACTGAACACTGAAGAAGACGACAACGAATTTGAAGAATGTCTTCTTGGGCATATCATCAATCAAACAACTTTTCCGCGGAAGCGAAAAAGAACTGGTAAATTGTAGTTTTGAAACATGTACATTATGCTCGGATTATAAACCTATACTCAACACGTGTGCATTTATAGGTTATCCGACATGCTAGAAAGAGCCGTGGGTATAATGTTCCTTTTAAGCGATGAGGTCGCTACTCATTGATCTATTACACAGCGACGTCGCCAACTATCTCGAGGTTTCCTTGCCTTCTGCTCCTGACAAAGCCATAGAGTGTCTACTACACCATGTTGCGCGTCATGGAGATCTAACACCGAGAGGGCTCAAAAGTCTACATGATGAAGTCGGCCGAGATCTGATCATCATATCGTTTCGTAGAGGCTCCCAGCCATAACGATGTCTAATGAACCCATCCAACGCCCGTGTACTCCCGAAGCATCCCTCTAATTCCGATACCAAGTTTATAGCCGTACTTATTACTCGGATCCTCCCGCAGTCATCGTTAACATCGCTGCTCCCAAAAGAACCCACCAATACCTAAAGTTCACAATATTAGCACATCCATCTATCCATTTGACCTCATCGCAAAACCCAACAACAAAGGACTCACTTCTGCAAAAAAGTCTTCTCCGGCACCTCCTTCTCCAGCTTTCCCTCCTTACTCAAAACAACCTTAGGACCCAAGACAGGTTCCTTCCCCTCAACCATCCGTCTAATCTCGACTTTCGGCGCAAAGTCCCTCGTAGCACCCGCATCTATAACACCACTCTTAATCGTAACCCCCAACACCGCACCCTGCGAGTCCAACGTCAAAAGAATAGTCGGTCTGTAACCCTTTTCGAAATTCGACAAGGAGAGAAGAGAAGTGGAGCTTTTGAAGACAGAGGTGGCAGGATCGAATATGCCTATGCGAGCGAGGTTTTCATTGGGGTTACGGGATTCCGATTCTGGAGATGAGAATATCTCGGGAAGGAGATCGGTAGGAGGATCGTAGGATGAGAGGGAGGCGGAGAGAGTAGAAGGGTTGTAGGATATACTTGCTAGTGGGTATGCGGAGGCGGAGAGGAGGGGTTGGATGTAAATTGTTGCTGTGTCTGTTTGGTCTGTGATTGCAGCGGTCGAGGGAAGGAAGTGTGCGCAGAGCGCGAGGAGGAGAGTGGCGGGTTTCATGATTGTGCTTGGGTTATCGGGTTGATTGTTGGAGCGAAGCTGGAGATTTGAGGTGAGAGCTTCGTGGAGCTATTGTCCGGGGAAGGCTGTGATTACGTAAGATGATAAGCGCGAATGTTCGAGATTCCATGCTGTGGATCAATTTCAACGTTTGATGTATGGATTGTACGACACAATGCACGTACAACGTTGAGAATTCATTCAGTTACGGCCTCGATTCAAGAAATTTGATATTTGCCCTATAATGTTCCCAGACCATTTCGTGTTTCTTCTCTACCCATTCGACATAACATGACTGTTTGCCTGCAAGGGCAACAGCTTTTCATAAGATTTGGCAAATAATGCCATTTGCATTTCGACTTGAGTATATACATGATTCCCTCAAAAACAGACAAACCCGAGGCGCCCCTTGATCTATTTATCAATGCCGTGTAAAATACTCCTACCCAACGCCATAAAACCAAAGAATCAAGGCGAAAGAGAAAGGGGTATTATGAGACGCAATCAGGGCCCTTCTCGCCATGAAGACTCTTCATGTCCAGACTCTGTCTTATGATGTGGAGCATCTGACTCCTTCGTGTTACTCATATCTGCGTCAACTCTAACCTCGGCTTGCTCGGGGGTATCAGGCTCGTCGCTTTCTTCATCGTCATCTTCTAATTCATCAGAGTCATCCGTCATATCTCCTTCCATTTTGTAACGCTCGTTTCGCTCAATTAAGCCTTTGTAATAATCGGTCAACATTTCTGGCTTTGGGATTATTTTCCAATCAACACGGTGTAAAAATTCAAGCTCCAGTAATCCTAATTCTGCCAATTTGACACCACCGACTCTCGCATACGTAGAATTGTTCCAGAAAATGTCCGAAAGTCCTTTTGACGCTACCGTCGCTGCTGTGATCAAAAATCGATGAACAGTCAATGTTGTAATTGTAAATGCAGGGTATGATGCGCAAAGTTGATCAATGTAATAAACCATAGAAAGTAAAAGAGGAGGTTTGAGGGTTGCATGCTTTGCAAGCCGCGCCAGATAATCAAGAACAGAAATCCCAGGAGGTGACCTAGAACTCATTAGTAAAGAGGTATCCTGGTACAATATGGATATACAAACCTAGAATGAAAGCGTGTCAACACCCCGCCTTGGGGAGGAAGAGCATCATTTCTTTGAATCAATTCTGCGATCATACTAGCTATAAGAATCACCATATCCTCTTCCTCACAGTGCTCATACTGTCGAGGCAAAATCTTCACGGACGTTTGAGGTTTTACTCTTTTCGAGAGAGACTCCTTTTTACTGGAAGTATTCGCATCTTCAATTGCCGATTGGCGTCTCTTCATGCTTGGTGATTCCGGTTGTATTGGTGGGTTTATATTTCGTAATACATTGACGTTGGGTTGCTCTGGCGCAATGGTGGGCTCTGGAGGAGGATCTTCTACTTTCACTTCCGCGGACGGCGATGCTCCATCTGCCATCCTAGAAGGCATCATAGGAGGACTCCACTGCGTAGATGCATCAACATAGACCCATTTCTTTGGTTGCGACTGGGGTGTCGATTGCTGTTGTGGTTGTGATTGTGGCGAAGGAGAAGGTTTGTTTGCAGCCGATGTTCTGCGCGACAGTGAGGGTCGTGTCGCAGTAGGTGCATAGTGATAGAGAGTAGGAGAAGCTTGGGATCTGCTCAGTGATGGCGACTTCAACATATTCCTTTTTCAAACTGAATCATGATCAGTGCCTTCCGACTCTGGACTAAATTGGCGGAGTGGAGTTGAGCGAGTGGGTAAGAACGATGGGGTGGGGGTTTGATAGGGCGTGGTGTCAGAAATAGCTGCGATTCGATACTTTTGATAGTCGCGGAAGGACCTAAGTGAGAGTGGTAGGAATGTACAGTCTTATAAGGTTTTGTTTCTATCGACTTTGCGACGTATCTGTATCGTATCTAGTAAGGAGGAAGTAAAGGAGGCAAGAAATAGTCAATAAGGTGCAAGAAAAGTGTTGACTGGAAAACTCTGCTTGAGAATGATTCCGGTTAATGTTTAAGTACAGTACCTGGATATGTATGTGTATGTGTACGTATATATGCGATAGATATTGTGTGATAATGACTCGTGATACAATAACGCCTTCTTCTCTTTCTCTTTCTATCGAGTATTTGATGTTCAATTTGTCTGATCAATTTATTATATCATTTTCGTTATCTCATGTGCATGTAAGATACCGTGAACTACCTTCCACTACCTCGTACCTTCCACTACCTTCCTCCCTCGAGCCTCCCTATCTCCGATCCATGTGAAGAAGTCCAATCCAATCCCACGCTTGAGGTAACCCCCAGACTCCAGAGTAGCGCGTCATCCATCCGTAATAGTAAAGAAAGAGCGTTTGGTTCGAGAACATAGAGCATATCTCCGAGGTGATGTCTATCTGACCTACACAATATCTACCTGTCTCGATTACCGTCCCTACCAAGGTCTCTCCATATTGTAATAATCATTGTACATACCGGATTCTTCTTCAAGCGATTGATTGCACTGTTGTTCGATACTTGTCTTTCAACAATTACATTGTTGTTGTTGGTGTTGTTTTAGAAGAGGTAGTAGGTATTGTACGAGTTACAACTCATTCGTCATTAACCTTAGTTCTAATGGAACCTTATTAACAAATTCCCTTTCCTATCTGCGTACAACATTCAGACATTCTTTCTACCCAACCTACTACTAATTAATCAACCACGAATCTCACCATCTTACCTATCGAACACAAATCAATCCAAAAATAATTCTTGCTTCTTCTAATAACTTCCTTCGTCATCGGGTGCTATTTCGAGATAGTTTTCCCTACATTCGCTGGCTTGAAAGTACACTATGGCTAGAAGTTTAGCCACACAAGGATGGCCGCTCTTGATTCGAAATGCCAGGTCTACCTCGGAGCAGATCGCCAACTTGAAAGGTCTCAAGAATGAAATCGTTGGTCATGCTTTAAAGAAGGAAATGGTTGTAACCATGGGCCTTGTGGAACCTGTTGTACGCCTATGTCTCAACAAGTCGGTTCCCAAAAATCAGGACGGAAAGGCACACGACCATAGTTATGCGATCCGACCATCACAAGAAGAGGAGGAGGAGGAAATGCTTCGACTGCAAGCTCTTCAAGTCTTAGGAAGCCTTGCATATGGTTAGCAGATTTACTATACTCATTGTACCCTTCATTAACATAAACTAGGCGGTCCAGCTTTCCTTGCGCCATTACACTATGGCTCTGCGCTCCCAGCTATCCTATCGAACTTTTGCCCATCGAATAATCCACCACAAACAGTTCTCGCAGCACTTCGGGCCTTAACCAATCTTGCAGAATCCGCAATGCTTGCCACAAGTGCACATCCTATTACCATCAAATCTCTGGCCGCAGCGTTATTCATACGCCCGCACCTTGTCTCGCTAACCCGCATCATTTCCCAAACATCATCATCACACATTATACAAAATCAGATCTCGTTGGCGGCATCACTTATAGCTCGAATATGCTTGCAGGAGTCTCACCAACAAAGTCTAGCAAGTTCCGGTGTTCTGGATGCTTTAGCTGTGAAACTAGCCAGCTTTGTTGTAGCTCAGGGACTGGTTATTCCAGGTGCAGATATTATTGCGCATAGGGACGGACTACTGGAATACTTTCCCCAAGTTTCGCCCTCAAACGTTAGTTTTCCGGCGATTTTAGAGGCTCTAGCTAGCATTGTAGCCGAATCCAAGCTGAGGGCTTCACAACTACTTTATCACCCATCAATTATGGCCGTATTCCCATCGATTCCAGCAGGGGAGGAACCCGTCTTGCAACACTCAAGAGCTGCTTGGAACACGTCCAATTCAGCAGGTTTAGGCCCAAAGCAAAGCCACTTGAATGCTATTGATTGTTTACTCCCGATCATTCCACAACATCCAGTTAAGAGCGCACAGGCTTCCGCATTTCCGCCACTTGGTTCATCTAGCTCTCGGGAACCTCCCAATGGTCGTGGAAAGTCTAATTCTGCCTCCACATGGGGCGGCGCACCAGATCGTAATGGTTCACCACCGGAAAGTCAAGTGGTTCCAGATGAATCTGAAACCCCCATGGTTGCATATTTGATATTTATCATGAGGTCACGAGAATGCAAGGAGAGACTTATGGCTGCATATCTGCTAACAGTTCTATTTCGAGCCGGTCTTATCAACAAAGCCCGAGAACCGACATTAGCTTTGTTAGTGGTGCCGCTTCTTGTGCAGATGTTGAATGAAGATTCCACCCTAGTAAAGTCTAAGGATGCTTCTCATGATCATGAAACGTTGAGGATTGAGTGGTCAATCACAGAAATGGCTCCACGAATATTATCCTTACTGATCACGGATAGCGAACATCTTCAAAAGGCCACTTTTCAAAACAAAGCAATGCCCAAGCTATCTAAGTTGATAAAATTGGCTTATGAGCCAGTGCCAGAGAGTGAAAATGCCCAATTCTGGTCACCTGTTCAGTCGAATGAGGCCAAAGATTATGTGGAACAAACCCCATCCTCACGCCTTGGCGATCCTGGTCAATCTGCTCTCCTTGTCCACAAAATAAAAGTAAGGGAAAGCGTGTTGAGAGCTATAGCCTCTCTTGTTCCTTTCAAAGAGGATCACCGAAAGTCCGTTGTGGATAATGGTATCATTCCTTATATTGTCGAATCGCTAAACCCTAGCCCCCAAAAACCATCAACCAAGGTCAATGATAAAGGTGACAAAACAGAAAAGAAACCCGTGTCAAGCGAAGTTGATGGCAAGCAGGATGGTTACGGGATCAACCACGTGGGCGTTCTTATCGCTGCTTGTACCGCTACCCGCGCCTTGGCAAGATCGGTCTGTATACTTCGGACTACCTTGATTGATAATGGAGTGGTTGCACCAATATTTCCCCTTCTCACTCACTCAGATATCGAAGTCCAGATTGCCGCTACAGCTGCAGTCTGCAATCTTTTGACTGACGTTGCCCCAATGCGAGAGGTTTGTACACTTTGATGCTATTATCACCTCGTTACTAATTTGTTCGCAGAGTTTCATGGAATGTGGGGTACTTAGGATCCTCTGTGAACAGGCTCACTCGACCAACGCAAAGCTTCGTCTCAATGCTACCTGGGCACTCAAACACTTTGTTTGTGGTGTCGGCAATGAGACTAAAAGAAAGTGTTTGGAGGAGTTAGGTTCTGGATGGTTAGACCACCTCATTTGTAACGATACAGAAGATGAAGCACTTCTCAAAGAGAGCAGTTATAGCACAGCCTCTGGGTCTGATGATGCTATGGACGAAGATGTTGAGATGATTCAGTTTGAATCACCAATGAATGGTTCATTCCCAGCCCATAGCAACTCCAGATCTAGTAGTAGCAATCGAAGCAAAAGCTTACAGCAAGCAGAAGCTAAACTTGCAGCTCTAAGGGAAGCCGAACTAAACCCTGCTAAAAAGGCCAGAAAAGACGATCTTGCTGTTCAAGAACAAGGTCTGGATTTCATACGAAATTTGATTTCAAGTGCAGGATCAGGCCATGGTGGCACTGCAGAAAATACTGAAATGATTGACTATCTTTTCAATTCTTTGGGACAAGATCGAGTTTTCGATATTCTGGCATCCAAGCTTCGACCAAAGATCATCAATATTCCCTCCAACGCTAATCGCAGAGATTCTAACGCACAAGAGAAGAAAGTCATTACCCCTCAACCAGAAATCATTGTCGCTGTCGTTTATATCCTAGTTCATATGGCCGCCAGCATCCCTCAACATCGTCAAATCGTCATCGCCCAAACTGAACTCCTCAAACTTCTCATCCCTCACTTCACTAATAAAGCTTACGAAGTACGAGTCGCGTTGTGCTTTCTGGTCTCTAATCTCACCTGGGTGGATGATTCGAATGACGGGCCCGCTTGCGCGCAACGCGTGCATAATTTGAAACAACTTGGTATCCTCGAAAAAATTGAAAATCTGGAACATGATCCGGAATTGGATGTGAGAGAAAGAGCTAAAGTTGCTCTTTGGCAGATGAAAGCTCCAGTTTTCAGTTGATTAATTGCAAATCTTTTAAACATGTGTATATGGGGAAATGGGTATCCGGGGGTTTTAAAGCATAGGCGTTTGGAATGGAAATTATAAACATATGTATTTATGAATGGATGGCATCGGTTATGGAGCGTTTGTATTATCACGCCGGGATATGAATTCAAGGGAAGGGAAAGCAAATCATCGATTGGTTGTTGATAAGGTATCGAAATATGCTCAGATTGAACATCATCAATGAAAATACGTTGGTCTGGTAAAATGGTAATTAAATTCGGAATCTTTGAGTTGAACCACTTCAGTAGGTAGAAAACGATGACATCTGATATAATGAATGCTCTTCACTTATTAATGATTTGTGAATGTTAGCATTCTTTGTAAGAGGTAGAGAAAATCGACGGAATTTCGATGCGTGCCCTTTTGGAGAATGATAAATTTAGATAATTGGGTAGTGAGAGCACCTTGGGTTCTCACTCCATCGGATGCGTTCGATGGAGCACCCAGGTAGGGAGGTAGGGAGGTGGCAGGTAATGACACAGGTCGGATCACGTGCAAATCAAGCTTGGTGAATTTTTTACTGACCCACAGAGTCCTTTTCTGCACAACTTACCGAGTGATAAATATCTTGAACTAATGATTAGCAGACAAGAGTGACTGGGGCTTAACAATTAATAATTTATACAAGACGAGTGTCAAGTAACCTGGAACTGAAAAAAATGAATAAAGTACTCACTAAAAACAAGGCCGAGGCTTCGGCTACATCAAGTGGTCTTGTTCCTCTCAAGACCACATTGGAAACGAGAGCTCGATATTCATTGCTCAGTGTTTACATCACAAGCGTTCCAGCGAAAAAAGCTAGTGGTGTTCTTAAGTAAGTTTTAACCCTCATTTTTGTGGAACTATGCATGTACTCATACTTTCTCAGTTTAACAAGGAGACTCTTTCCTGAAGATGGTGGCTATGATCTACAGCACATCAGAAGATTTGCGAAACAAACGGACGTTCCAGGTCACGTTCGCACTTCAATGCTAGAAGCAAGAGCAGAAAGCGATGGCCCAGTCGACATCAAATCTCCCGAGCTTTTCCTTCTTGTGGGAGCTGCAAATCTCATCAGCTCGGAAGAATTACGCGGTGCCCTTTCTCCAATTTTAGATCCAGCAACCATTTGTTCCATCAAAGTACCTTTGTTAGCCCCGACATCGCAAGAACAAGCGAAGTCTTGGTCGTCTCAATACTGGCCCATAGTATACAAGAAAAGTAATCCGTTTGGTCCCCATCCAGCGATTGTATCTAGAGCAGAAGAAGACTTACAAGGAGAAGTCGAGAAGTATATGGACTTAGCGGCTGAAGTAGCTCGTTCTTCAAGCACGACAGGTGTTGGAGAGCAAATTGGTGCTGTAGTTGTCGAAAGAAAGAACGGAGCTACACGCATACTTGCGGTTGCTGGTGACGCGCGATGGATGAAATGGCCACGGGTTGGGTCTGGTAATGTTACAGCGCATGCAGCGCTTCGAGTTATTGCGATGGTAGCAGATGGAATAAAAATTCAAGAAGAACGTAAAGCTGGCAAAGATTCAGAAGCGAAGAATACTTCAGAACAAAAATCAATTTTCCGTGATCAATCATTGGATACCCTGGAGGCAAAGCACCACAAATCAGCTGAATGGATCGACGGATATCTTTGTCATGAGTTGGAGCTTTACATAACACATGAGCCGTGTGTTATGTGCTCCATGGCTATCGTACATTCTCGCTTTGGACGAGTAACATTCGGACAACGTATGCCAAAGACTGGTGGTCTTTGTGCAGACAGCGAACTCGGCCACGGACTGTTCTGGCGTAAGGAATTGAACTGGTCGTTGCTAGCCTGGCAGTGGATGTCTGGCAAAGAAGATACCGAAACATCCAAAGAATCACAAAGCCTAGTGTCTCACCTTGGTATACACGCCTGATGTTCCGAAGAGGCTGCAAGAAAATACCTTCTAATCCCCCACGATCATTCGGACTTGAGCGTTAAACCACGACTCTGTCAATAGTTATTACTGATACCTAATATCTCGATTGGAAGCATAGATTGAAGTCACCCCCATGGTTGCAGTGGCAAGCGACGGCTAAATCGGCACAAACATCCCAGCTGGTTTACAAAGATTCACACTTATCGAACTTGGAAGCGCCAAGAGAGGTGAACATTTCAGCCAGATGTCATATCGCTTCCAACCGTGGGCTGCCCAATTCCAACTAAAGGCTGAACGTAATAATGGCAGGGCAGATTACACGAAGGAAGAGGGAAAGTACTCTTGTATCTGAAGATTTTCGTTTGTCATAGATCGTCCTGTCTAAAGATCTCTTGGAAGAACGCGCTCCATGCCGAGCTCCCTTTTCATCGACATCTAAACTTCGAGAATCCTTCTTTGGGACTACGCCATTGCTTCTAGCATCCCGATTTAAATGCTTGTCAATGCCAAGAACGCCTTGTGTCTGCAATACAGTGGCGCAGATGGCTCATAGCTAATGTGGAGTGATTATATATATCATGTATTGTTATTCGGGGATAAATTGAGATCGAGCAGTCTTTTCGGCCCATAACTCTACCAAATGGAGGGCCTATACTTCCTTATAGACGGCAACATAGTTGTTGCCTCGTATGGTACAGCATACGCTACATCATCAGGCTACACAGAAACCAAACCAATCGATTTATCAAACCTAAAACTGACTCAAAGTTTGATACGACGTCGTTGCTGGTAACACTACGAGTGCATTAAGCGAATCAAAACAACCACCCATGCTCGCGATATATTTTATGAATAGCACCCTGTAACACATATTACAGGGCTTGATTGGGGAGGTTTGAGCAACCTTGTATCAACCTCTGAACTGGAAACGTGCTAGATCTATAAAATCTGATTTGTCCTAATTTCAATTCTTCAATATCAGCCTCGTCGGCTGTAGCCATCATATGCAACACACTGTTTGTCACTTGTGAAGCCCGTTTCTATATCACAATCTGTAATTCGTTGATATATAAATATGTTTGGTACAACCACATTTACCACGCCACAAATTGGACGGGAACCTGCCATATTCAGTGATTTATACCTCGAGTGAGATTGTGAGAGACAAGTCAGTCACCAATTGAATGTTACCCCATGGCTTGGCTGGCGCATTCATTCACTGCTTGATAAAGCTGACTGCCCTCGTGGGTATTTTACAATGCAGCTCTACTTCAAATCTCCTGAAGATTGAAAGTGATATAAGACAAGCATAGATTCAAAACTCTCTAGTACTTCAAAGCCATCTAACAATGACGAGCCCAGAGCTCCCCAGAGAAGCCGCACCTCATCCGTCAGCTCCTGCTGCTCTTCACACAACATCCGGTGGAAATGCCGTTTGGCACAATTTCAACAATGATTTTGCTCACATCCAAGACCCCAATGAAAGGCGAAGACTCGCTCTAGCTGAAATCGATCGCGCTCCATTCGGATGGTACCATGTTCGTGCGTGTGTGGTTGCCGGCATTGGTTTCTTTACCGATTCTTATGATATCTTTGCTGTCGGGCTCCTCACCACTATGCTTGGAATAGTTTATTTTCCGCATAACAAAGGAGTCATGCCAACTAATTCCGACACGGCAATCAAGGTCTCGACTAGTGCGGGCACGGTGGTTGGTCAGTTTGGATTTGGTATCTTGGCGGATATTGTGGGACGCAAGAAGATGGTATGTGGTTTGATGATGGGTCAAGCCTCAATGCTTATATGTAATCGCAGTATGGACTGGAATTGATCATTATCATTTTTGCTACATGTGAGTACAGATGGGTCGTTAACTTTTTTGTTTCAACTTTGAACTTCTGTCCCTCGATTTACCCTCTACTTGAGAGTCGAGTACTGCATTCTGTATACTCTTCCTCTCCATGTAGCAATAATACTTCATTTTCGTCATTTACTTTTGAGTACTGTACTTGGTGGGGAATACTGACCTTCCAATCTCACAGTGGCACAATCTCTAACCTCGAGTTCTCCGGCTGTGAACATCGTGGGGGTCATAATCTTCTGGCGTGTTCTTATGGGTATCGGTAAGCTTATGATCCTGCCATCTTCAATCAGACATGAAGAGGAAGAACTGACTCAATTGGTAGGAATCGGTGGTGATTACCCACTCTCATCTATCATCACATCAGAGTAAGCTCCTTTTTTATTAGCTATCAAATCTTGTGTTCTGAAGTTGTGGAATCCATTCTGCTCATTGGTGAAAATTTGCCGAATCATCATTGCATTATTGTAAAAAGCTCTGGATACTTAAACTGCCTTGAAACTTCATCGTTATGCAACATTCTTGTTCAAAACCAAGCATAGTCTAACAAGCACATAGATTCGCTACCACCAAATGGCGTGGAGCAATGATGGGTGCAGTTTTCGCCATGCAAGGAATCGGCCAATTTGTCGCCGGTCTCGTCATGCTAATCCTAGTCGCCGGCTTCAAAGAATCTCTTCTCACCGCCAAATCCGCCGCAGTATGTCAAGGTGTCTGCGGCTTAGCAGTCGATAAAATGTGGAGAGTACTTATTGGATTTGGCGCGGTTCCAGGTAAACATACTCCTGAGTTTAGCGAAGATAGGCTGTCTGTCGAAGTATCCACTAATACTCCCTGCGCTAGCTTGTGTGGCACTCTACTACCGACTCACGATCCCCGAAACACCTCGCTATACATTCGATGTCGCGCGCGATGTTGAACAAGCGCAATTAGATGTCGAAGCATATATAGCCGGTAAAGCGGAAGGTCACCCGGATGAAATAGCGCGAGTACAAGGACTCCAGGCCGGCAAGTCTCAAATGAAAATCCCCAAAGCTAGTTGGAGTGATTTTGTCGCTTATTATTCACAATGGAAAAATGGAAAAATCCTCTTTGGTACAGCTGGTTCTTGGTTTTTGCTCGATGTAGCTTGGTATGGATTGTCGTTGAATAATCCGGTTATATTGACTGCGATCGGTTATTCAACGGGTCCGACAGTCTACAAAACCCTGTTGAATACAGCGATTGGAAATCTCATCATTGTGTGTGCTGGTGCGATTCCAGGGTATTGGGTTACCGTTGCAACGGTTGATACGATTGGACGGAAACCGATTCAACTTATGGGATTTATTGTTCTAACGATTGTTTTCATCGGGATGGGTTTTGGTTACCATAAACTTTCGGGTCATGGGTTACTGGGTCTTTATGTTGTTGCTCAATTCTTCTTCAACTTTGGTACGTGATCCTTTTTCTCTCTCTTCCATTTCCTCCCTCTGCAACCCTAGAAATCCCAAAGTGCCAATCCCACAACTGACCATCACCCCAGGACCCAACACAACAACCTTCATCGTGCCCGGCGAATGTTTCCCCACGCGCTACCGCAGCACCTCTCACGGTTTCA